TGCCGTCGCTGTCTGTGATGTTGTAGAAGCTGGAAATGTGGCAACCCGTTCAACACAGGACCGTTGCGTCCCTTGTGTCTCTTGCGTGCATTGGACAGGCGGCTGGGCGGGCTGGGAGTGGCTGCGGCGCTCGCTCGTGGTTTCTATCCAGCAATAGCGCCTGCAGCCGGTCGGTGAGAATATCCGCGAGAGAAGGCGATTCAGCACGGGGCGGCCGAGGCCGAGTCCGCGAGGGGTTCGAGTGGCTATCCCAGATTAAGTGCCGCACCTATTGACCTATAGTTAGCGGGCGATTAACCACTAAGCTCCTGGAGCCGTACTACGAGTCGGACTTACACGCCGGCAGTTTGAGCAATAGTCCCCATCTTCCCCGGCACGAACATGACCTGAGCAGTGGACGAAATAAGGTCACCCTAGGCAGCGGACAACACCACGATGAGTATAGTTTCGGGGCATGGCTGTAGAGACCTCGCGTTCTCCTGATTTAAGATGGGTTGCCAGCGGCCGGAGGTGAGTATCCTCGGGGAACTGAGGTTTGGGAGGTGGCCTCGCGGCTTAGTATTAGCTCTAGGAGAAGTAGCCCAGGGTAAAGTAGGGCTCCCTTTATAAACCTTTAAAGCACTTTCTCCTCTCACCTCCGAATGCGGACACCTAAACGGCGCCGGAGCCGCACGGGCGCCATGAAGGTTACTCATGCGAAGCTAGAAGATTGGGGAAAAGATGGGTTTGGTCAGGCACACCGTCAGAAATCCGACCTGACCATGAGAACAACATCATCTTGATTACGAATGGTTAGTTGGCCAAGAGGGAATCGGTTGGCAACGCTCCTTTCTTTGTTTTGCTGAAACGTGGTCAGCCTGGCCCGGCGAACTGGCGTCAGCTCCAACCAACCTGCGTTATGAACAGCATGATGGCTTACCCAACACAAAGGCATCGTATACCAGATCAGATGGAAGCCAACATTCCACCAAACAGCACGTGAATTTGCCCGCTACCTGGCCCGGGGTCTTAGTTCCTTTGTACGGTTCGGTAACTCAACAATCTGGGCGAGTTGGTTCGAATCCAACTCATAGAAACTATTGTTGCTCAGCTTCCTGGTTCGATTCCCGGCAGGGTAACCAGCACACCTCCGGACCCACCTGTGATTACTTATCACAAACTAATTGAACGATCGTGCTGGCGCCTCCTGATGATTACATACCTTATCTAGCGGGCACTGGGGGAAGGCTTTCCACAACGCAGACGGTATCAACTGGGAGCTTTAAACAAACGCAGACTGTACGAAGTAGCCAACCTTCTTTTCCGACTATTTTTGAAGTCCCATCGTCACTAACCCTGTTCCTTTGGTCAAGGTCATTATACTTTCTCCATTAAATATTTTCCATCTATCATCCTTGTATTCCCGCAAAAGATAGGAGTCGGTCCCCAGAGCCCTGGAAAAATCTGCGAGAACATATGACACGGTTGCACCCGTCACGAATCTCAAGTTGGGAATAGCCTCACTTCAAAAAGGGGCCAATCCAAACAATGTGGGTTGGTCCACTCGGCAACTGCAGGGATACTTTCTTATCCGCTTATCGTCGAGATGGACCCGCCCACCGAAGCTGTGGCGCTGCTCAAGGCTGAGAACAAGGCGGGGCAAGCGCCACAACCCCAGCCTCAGCTGCCTTCCTGGGGAAGCAACGCGCAGCTCCAGGCTGCCTGATGGGAGCTCATGCAGCAACAGCTCGTCGACTCCAGACCAACACCAAACCCCAACCATCCCCGCCACCAAACCACCACCAAGTCCGCACCCGTGCCTTTTGAATCCGCAAAACCTCCAGCACCCTCCCGCACTCCGACTTTAGTACATCCTACCTTCACAATGGTGTGTTTCGCATCCCGTTTCTGTTGCTGCCCGCCCGGCGATCCGCATCATCCAACTCCGATCTCTCGAAAGCTAACTTCACAACCCCTAAGACGTCGATAGGCACAGGGTTACGACCTCGCCAACTCCATCTTCTCCCCCCGATGGCCGCAAACTTCCAAGTCGAGTACGCCGTGAAGGCGGTCGAGAACGGGTGGCACCTCGATCGGCATCCGGTGGCAAGGACCGGCGTTCGTATCTGGCTCGTCGAGAAACTCCGTCACATCCAAGCCTGCTTCAAACCCAACGCCAACAAGCGCATTCGCGACTGGTCGAACAGGCATTCTGGGAGTGGGTAAGCCACCGTCTAGCACCCCTCCCCCCTCCCGGAATCTCCCCACCCCACCTTCAACCCCGCCTTCCCACACACACACACACAACGCAACCCACCAACGAGCCACTAACCAGGGCCGCCGCACACACAGGTATACTCAGGCATGATCCCCGACGGCCGGCACTTCATCGAGCGGGCGCGGGACGAGGCGCGGGCGTGGCGCGACACGTTCAAGACGCCGATCGCGACGGCCGACCTAGCGGCGCGCATGGGCGGCTACATGCAGGCGTACACGCTGTACCAGTCGGTGCGGCCGTTCGGCATCACGGCCATCGTGGGCGGCTTCGACAGCGCCGCCGAGACCCCCGTCGACGGCGAGGTCGGCAGCGGCCCGGCCTGCGGCGCCGGCGGCAAGGTCGCCGGCAAGACCCACGGCGGGCCCTTCCTCTACATGATCGAGCCCTCCGGCCTGTACTGGGGCTACTACGGCGCCGCCACGGGCAAGGGCCGCCAGGCCGCCAAGGCCGAGCTGGAGAAGCTGGACTTGGGGGGTCCCGGCGGGCCCGCCCTGACCATGGAGGAGGCGGTCAAGGAGGCGGCGCGCATTCTGTACGTCGCTCACGACGACGATAAGGAGTTTGAGCTGGAGATGACGTGGATTAGTGGGGCCGATGGGCCGACCAAGGGGGCGCATCACGAGGTGCCCAAGGCGTTGCGGGAGGAGGCGGAACGGTTGGCGAAGCAGGCGCAGGAGGAGAAGATGGAGGAGTAAATGCGGCGGCGGCGGCGCGGTGGAATGGGCGGCGTTATTGTACCATAGGTACGCACCGAAGCGACGGCTGCGGACTTTGCGGGTGGGAAGATAGACTAATCTTCATCTGCACTGGGGCGCGGGGTCCCGGAACGAACTCGATCACGACATTCATGGCTGTTTCCCCCCTTTTTCGTTTGAGGACATGTCTGACCAGTGCCAACGATTGCCCGGCCGCACGATGAGCTGTGCTGTAGACGGAACTTTGGTACAGGGTATTATTGACTGCCGCCTCTATCTACAACGTGACCAACATACACACAAACACACACACACACACACGCATACACCCTCCTTACTTCTCGTCCGCCGCCGCCGCAGCAGCCGTATTCGCATGGCTCTGGCACCAATTCAACCAATCCCCAAAGAACGACGCCTGGATCTTGACCTCGCCATCAAACCACCTGCGCTGCGTCCTCGCATACAGCGCAAACACCTCCGCCTCCCGCTCCGCGTCGCAGCACGTCACCGACGCCACCGCCAGACACGCCGTCGACGCCGCCCGCGCAAACGCATGCGACGCATCCCGGGCCGCCTCCTCGTGCAGCTCCGCCATCAGCGAGCCCATGGCGCCGAGATCCAGCCCGGGGATTGCAGCCACCTGGCTGCCGCCGCGCGCCTTCTTGAGGCTCTTGGAGAAGGTCTGAATGATGTCGCAGGCCTTGTTGCCGAGCGCTTTGGTCGTGGTCGTGCGGATGAGGTGGAGTAAGGGGAGCAGGACGCGGAAGACGTGCGCAGAGCCGGCGGTGGCGGCGGCCTCTTTCTTGACGTAGATGGCGAGGAGGTCGAGGATGCGGTGCTTGAAGTTGACGACCGTGTCCTTGGCGTCCTTCTTCTCCTTCTTCTTGTTGCTCGTCTTGGCGCGCTGCTTGAAGATCTCGGCGAGCTTCTCGTCCACCACCATCATCTCCGAGTCCGTCATGTCGGATTCGTGGTCCGTGTCCGCGTCGGCGTCCTGGTCGAGCCGGTGGCTGCCAAGGACTTCCGCGAGCGCGTTGTCGAGCGCGTCGAGCGCTTCTTGGTCCTTGTCCACGGCGTCTGCGTCCTTGTTTTCCTCCTCATCGCCAGAGTCCTCATCGCTGTCATCGGGGCCGTCTGAGCCGGCCTCCTCGAGGTTCACTATCTCGACGTCGGAATCGAGTTCCTCCTCGTCACTCTCGCCGCTCTCGCCGTCAGCAGCTTCAGCATCCATCATGTCTTCGTCCTCCGTGCTAAACAGAGCTTGCTGTCCCTTGGCACTCTCTTCCGCTGCCAGTGGGTCAATGAGGAGTCTGAGCGCATCCTCCGTCATGTAGCCGGTGAAGGCCTCGAAAACCTGCTGCGAAACCTGGCGCATGAGCGACGACGGTCGGGCAACCATTGCGAGAAGAATTTCTACAAGGTATTCGGAAATGCCCTCGCCGGACTCCTGGTCATAGCTCTCGAGCTTGTCGTAGCATTCCGAAAGCTCGTCGAAGAGATCTATCACATCGGGGTCCTGGTTGTAGAACTGAAGAATGCCCACAGCATGTAGCAAAGCTAACGCTTGCCGAGGTGCTCTTGAGCGATCCGTGCATTTCGCAGGATCAAGCAGGTCCTTCAGCCTCTCGTAGGCGTCAGGGAGAATGGAGCCGGCGACTTCATCATCCGAATCGATCTCGGCCTCGATAGACAAGATGGCGCCACAGAGATGCCCGAAATCCTCCGGCCTCCGAACCAGCTTTGCGAAAGCCGACGTCGACCTCGTCCGTAATGTTTCCTTGATGCCAGCGGGCACCAACGTGTTTGAATAGGCCAAGTCGGTCAAAGCGTTAATTGCTAGACCAGGAACCGACTTGCGCGAGGTGTCGGCCTCAGCGTCCTCGGATGGCACGCTCGCGAGTCTGAACAAATAGGCCCCGAGCGCCTGGTAGTACTTTGACTCGTCAAGCCCGCTCTTTGACGGATCCTTGAGCTGCAGGATCTTGAGGACCTGCTTAACTGTGGTGGGTGTTGTCTGTTGCAGCAGCTTGTCAATCGTCTTCGTGTTTGTGCGCTGCTCAAAGTTGTACGCTCCCTGTTTCCCAAGAAGCTCCTTGAGAACGGTGGGGAGGATGTGTGGTGCTTTCTCAACAACAGCCTCAATGCCTTTCAAAGCCTTGACAGCTGCGCGGTGGAGATACCGGTCCTCCTTGGCAGCTTGGTTCATAAGAGACACCATGAGATTCTTGCTGAAAAGGGCCGACACCATAGAAGGGGAATCGGTGGCGCCTTCGAGCATCTTTTGGAAGATCATAAAGCCCGAAAACTTCTGGCTATCCGAGGCATTCTTGGAAAAGAAACTTTCTGCAGGTTGGTTAGCAACGTCGTTGTGCTGGGAGCATCGGAAACTTACCATCCACGACTCGGTTCCAAAATTGTTTGAATTGTTCGGTGGCATCACTCTTGGACTGGGCACCGAGTTTGACAAAATGAGCAACGATCAAATCCCAGACGAAGTGAAGCTGCGCCGTCCAGTTGCCCTGCTTTGGCTTCTTGCTTCCACCGTCCTCAGCTGATGCTTCCCTTCCGCTATCTTTCAGAGCCGCGGGTAGAGCAGCCAAAGACGTCGCTATCAAAGGGTGACGCCATGGCTGTTTTGGAACCTTCATTTTAGGGAAGCGGTCCAACGCGGCGATCCAGATGCCCACGCCCTCGGGGGTCTTTGCGAATCCTGCCTCGGAAAGTTTCTCGAGGGTATCCTCAGCAAGCTTCTGGTCCATTTGTGATATCGCTTGCACGGTGACGTATCCGCATTGCGACTTCAACCAGCTTTTCTTCGACGACAGCTTCAGCAGAAGGTCCAGAACCGGAAGCCACCTGGTTTTGTCGGAGAGAACACCAGAGCGGACAAAGCATTCGATGCCAAAGAGTTGCCCAAAGTAGTGGTCTCTCTCTTCCTGACCCGAGCCGGCCCCTCCCACTTGTGTCTTCTCCAGCAAGAGACCCAGCACCTTGTCGAATGGTAGGCCCGGATACTTGGAAATCGCCAAATCCTTCTCCCCGAATAACTGGCCCAGAATCTCGGTCAGGACTAGGCTAAAGCCGAGCCTCGAGGCATTCCTGCCACTGGCAAGACCGCGGAACAGACGCTTTTCGAGATGGCGCAAGAGGACGGGTTCGGGAACACAGTCTTCGCCAAGAAGACCGGATATGATGGCATCGGCGGCTTCGATTCGATCGCTGACGTCTTCATTGCCTAGTTTATTGTACAGCTCTAATTCTCTCTTGCGCTCATCGACGGTAGGATGCTCGGTGAACGGGGACTTGTCGAGCGCCTTCGACGGCTTGGGCTTGGCTGAGCCATTGGTGGTCGAGGCATCTTTCTTTGACCGTTTTTGAGAGGGTAGATTGTCATTGTTGGCCTCCTTGGCCATGCGCTTCCGTTTGTTGGCCATGGTTCGTGAGGTGATCGTAACGGGCTGAGTTCAGAGTGCTGGGGGTCTGGAAACAGTGGACTCGACGCTGCTTCTGCCACAGCCTGTGAACTCCAACCCCCCAAAGTTTTTAGCGGGGCCTATTTCCTGCCCCCATTGACCGCTTCCACCCGATAACGTCAAACGGGGGTGGGGCCAGTTCGGATTCTTGGCGCTGCAAGGTACCCCCGATTATTGCACATATCAGCAGGGCAGAACCTCGCTGCTTGCATCCATACCAGGGAGCTGAAATGCTTCCAGAAGCGGTCGTGAAAAGGACAACGAAACGACAACGGCTTGGATCCCTGCACTGGGATGGTCAAGCCTTCCAAAAGTTTGCTCGCGCCACTCATCTAAAAGACAGCAGAAGCAAGAGGTGGAGTGTGCATTGTCACAGACGAACAACAGCCGCACTGTGTGCAACTTTCCCTTTCTTGCTAGTTATCCATGTCTAACACTCAACGAAAGAACGTCCGCCTCCTCCTCCGGTCATGTCCTAGGTCTTGCAGTGGTCATAAAAAACCGAGGCAATGTTCTTAGTACCATTTGGATTCAGCATCAATGACAAGATCCTTTTTGAGTGGACCTGAACGTTTGCTGTAGTTGTCTCGTCTCCGACCTGAGAAAAATTCCTCTCTTGAAACCCACTGGCAGTGGGAACAGTGGGTTCGCCTAGGACAGGCAAAGTTATGTCTTGAAACCAGAGATTATACCCGAGTTTCCCGCCGGAGTGGATAGATAACGGTAGTCTACGAAGTGAGGATCTTTGGCCTGGCGATGCCGGGGAATCTGGCGTGGAGAATCCGAGACATCGAAACATCCCTTGTTTCCTCCCTCGCAATGATCACTCCACCTCAACTTTGGAACTACAGCAACCGGCGAACCTCGTCACCGTTAGTTCGCTTGCTCATCACCGACCTCACTTTCCGTTGAGCTTCATTCTCAACAGCCAAGGGTTCCAGCACACAGACCAACAGTCTCCCAGACAACAAAGGCTTCGCTCTCCACTTCGCTAACCAAATGTCACGAAGCCCCTTGCTCTCACCAACTTCACCGCCTTCTCCAGGCAGAGTAGCTCACTAATTTTTTTTCTCACATGTCCGTCTTACACTCGCCGGGATCACCCAAAAAGGCACAGACCGACTGGAGACGGAAATGACCATGCATGCTGTACCTTGCAGCAGCCCTAAAAACCTGTGCATTCATTTCGATTACGCTAGCGCAATGCATCCAGGGTCTAAGGGCTCCATTTCGAGATTCTGGAATGCGAGCTTGTCAGAATCTGGGAATGTCCGAGAATATGATCTGTAAACCCTGGGGAGACCGATGGTTAGGAGACATGTTTGCGAAGAAAGGGCAATTGAGGATGAGGAGTGGAGGTTGATATGAGTGCAAACACTGTCTGATATTGCAATACTATTTAATATAACTCTTCAAAAGGAAATCCAGGTTTTGCTCTTAGTTTTCAGGTTATTCTCCAGTAAAAGAAGCTACTCTTATATTCTCTCTTCGGTTCCTTTCAAAAGAAAAGAAAGAAGGAGTAATTCTTCCAAGCGGAGAAGTTCATGTTTAATCTCACCCGCCATTTACGGTACACTGCCTACCTAGGTAATCTGGAAGCGGGCAACTCAAAATACACTCGTTCAACTTAACTAAGCTCTTCAAGAGAAACGAACCAAACCTGAGATGTCTCGGGACAAATCGTATTAACTCAGTCAAATAGGTAGACAAACAAGCAAGTGCACTGTGCATAAGAACGCTTGAAGTCACTCGCCTGTTGGTGAAGTGGGGCTCAATGAGTGGATTCAGCTCACCTCGCTGAATCCAAACGCCTAAACAGGTTTCTCATATGGCTCGTAGAAGGATTGCTGTGTCAGGCGGCGCACTTCGTATCCCCCGCAACTGCGCCATTTACATCAGAAGTTTGTGGGTAGGACTTTCGGACGAGCATCATGGCCTGGCCGTAGCCCCGACGTTGCCCGGTCGGCAAGGCTGTGAAGGGGTCCGCATCTTTAGGCGCTCCGCCTTTGCCGGTTAGTGATGAGGTTGAATCAAGCGCCGGGAAGGTCTGAAGAGAACCAAGAAATAAACCCTCGTACTTCTCATGAAAGTGAGACTTCGCGGCTCGAGCCCCACGTTATGCGAAGCGTCAAGTGTGACGAATAAACACTCAGCCGCGCGGTTCGCCGGCGAGGTGACGAGGTGAGCCCGGGACATCCCGGGGCGGGCAGCCCTTGTCGTTTCATCAGGTGACACCGCGTCCTGCCCGCTCTGCTACCCCGCCGCACGGTTGACACGGGGAGCTTCAGGTTGTTGACCAAGCTCCGGAAACCTGCGTCCCGTTTGTTTACTTTGGACTTTACCCCGCGCCGGCGCGACATATCGGATGTCAGGTGTGTCAATGCGACATGCATGCATCCTCTTGCGTTCCCGGGTGTGCAGATTCATTGCCTTGCCGCGACCGTGCGTTGTTCTCTCTCTGACAGACTCCGCAGCAAAACGTTCTGCGCCTTCTTCGCATGCAGCTTCTCAAACAGGCCCTTGCTCTGGCTCAAGCAAACCAGAAGCCGTCGGTGGGCTCATCAGGGAACTAGACCAATCCGCTTTCGGATGCGGAGGAATGGAGAGGTCCATTGTCTGGATGCGCGTGGTGTGGCTGATGTGAGCTGGGGGATGTAACCCGAAGCGTGCGAAGCGTGGGCGCCTGACAGCTGAACTCGGTTGCATTGGCGCCCCGGCACCGGCGCCGAGAGCTCGATTGCGAACCGCGATTGGGTGACGATCCGATGTTTGCTGCCACTCTGGTTGGACCATGCGGGTCATCGGGTTGTGCGCTTTTTGTGCAGCGCTGATCAACCGCGACGACGATGAGGGGAAAGTAAACAAACTCTACCACTGCCCCGTCAGATACTTCATCTTTCGAAGCTCTTGTTCTTGCCGTCCGTCAAGACTCGACGAGATCTCGATCTCGCGATTCGCGATGCGGAAGGTGAGGGAACGGAAGGGCGAATCAGGTCGATCGGGAAGGACGAGCGGGGGTTCGAGGAGCTCTCGGCGATCTTGTTCAGCCTTGGAAAACCAGGCCGGCGCAAAGCAGGGGTGTCGCTCTAACTAGCCCTGTCGGGAGGATGACGTCTTTCCCGATCGGGACAGCAAGAAGGCTGATGGAGTCGGCAACCACCCCTCGCCAGGCAACGGTGATGCTATTTCCAGCCTTGCAACCGATCCAACCGAGCCGCCGAGATCGTTATGATAGTTGTCGGGTGGTCTGGAGAACGGGGATAGGCTTGGCGGATTGTTGCCGATGGAGACAAGTTGGTTCATGACCGTGGGCAAATTCCCCGATGTTTCAATGTCTCATGGGACCAGCAAACTTTGGGCGGGAAGCTCGCCATGCGTGGGGTTCGCGCCCCAGTCCTCCCCCATTTTGCCGGACGGAAACAATATCAGCGTTGCCCGTGGTTCGTCCGCCACGCAGAGAAAAGCCGGCCCCATGGTTTGGTTCTTGCACATGCCAATGTCGTCTGGGGAACCGATACAGCCAATCAATCCCTTGGGAAGCAGTTCAAAGGGACTCTGACGATGAGGCCCCTTTGGGTCCGCGGGAGGTGGGACACACAGGGGGCCCCTGGTCGATCCGTTGCTGGGGCTCGACTTGCGCGCAGCTTGGCTAACCTTCTCTGACGCAATTCCTCTCGCGAATCTTGGTTGCCAGTCTCGAAGGCTGTGTGGTGACGCAAAAGACTGCGACTGAGTGATTCCCAAGCGGGGGAGTTCGCGGAACGTATTTTCGGCATCAGAACGCTGAAGGGGAAAGCAGCTGGATCCCTGCCGTGCCTGAGAAGGGAGCTCCCTGGAAGCGGGACAATGGAGGTTCGTGCCAGTCAGAGCCCGCTATCTTTGAAACGAAACCTGCAATACGTTAGTTACAGCAGCCAGTAACGAATAACACCAACTTCCCCAGCCTGGAAGTATTCCACCAAAACCTGCCCTTTGATCCCTTGGTTCCTTGTTTTCCTCCTATTTTATTTCCTTTGTTCCTTCCCTTTCCTAAACGAGAGTTCTATCAAGAGTTTTGCCGCTCCCGGTGAGACACGTAAAGTAGATTTGGAAACGCCTGTTCTTTGAGGTATTCAGTCGCTTTCCTGGCCAGTAGCATGGCTGCGAAGCTGTTGCCAATTCGAGATGCTGACTGGCTCGGCAAGTATCGTCGCCAACAGCTCGGAGAGAGCGCTAAAACACAGCGCTTGTCCACAAGATCCCTGGCATCCGATCTTGCTCAGTTACTCGACGACAACAGAACGAGTTTTTGTATTTCGTGGTTGCCGGGCAGGCGTGGAAACAGTCCCTGGCTCCAGTTGACACGATTTTCGCCATCTTTCGACGCCGAGCCATCCTGAAACCGGCACGCCGGGCAGGCGTCGATGCGGCAAGGAGCGGCTGGCCGATGGGAGGAGGCCCAAACGTCCGATATCCCCCATCCCAGTGTTTCCGCTGCGTCGCCCATAATGCAGCCTCCCGCACGGGATGGCCTGAGAGAGCGGTCGTTTGATGCTTGATTTGGGACGATGATCTGGAATACCTCAGGCGGAGCCAGTATGCCAGGGGAGGTGGCAGGAGTCGTCGCCGAGACTATCCAGGCAGGGAGACAAGTTGGCTCCGGCCGATGGCCTTTGCTTGTCTTGCTCAGTTTTTCGTGTCTTGTTTTTCGTCCGCATTTTGACTGGTTGCTCGGTCATCCATCCCCGTAGGACTGAAGAACAGTGAATCCTTTAATTGGAGTCGACTGATATTCGGCCCCCGAGGCCATTGCTGCGCCGGAGAGCGAGCATCCCCCATCATGGGTCGCTCGCAGCTGCGGCCACGAGGCACCAGAAGCGGCACATGAGGCCCAACAGTGCAGCCATCCCGTCCCCACGACCGAAATCCGGATGTACCAATGTTGTGGGTGCTTGTGTTAGATGGTACATGGATCTGCTGTGCCTTGTGCGGGTGGATGATGTTACTCCAATTTGCAGTGCACAGCGACCATGTCACGCCCAAGCGCCGTGCCGTAGGAGCTCCCTGCAGAGGAGGAGCTCCCCCGCCCCACCGGGCAGCTCCCTGAGCTCTCCACGAACAAGGGACCCGCTGTTGAAGGTTCCCTGGCGCCAGGTACGCAGTAACTGCAACAACCATGCTTGACCCAAATCGCCCCTGACAACCTGTGTGAGAAAATCGACTTGCTTGATGGGGCTTCCCTGTCGACGCTGTGCACCACGCCGGGAAGGGAAAATTCCTTCTTTAACTGCCACCCTCCCGGTGATCGTGAGCATTGGTTCTCACACAACCAGCCTGACGAGTAGCAACTTGGATTCGGTAAGCTAGTGAAGGTGGCCGGGTGCTGTGTTCTTGGTGCGGATAGGTATCAGAGTTGGGAGTGCAAACCCACCCTCCCCACGGCAGATCCAAGTTGCATGAAGAGCTGCCAGCGTTTTTTGGTTCAGCGACCCAGCGTCCACCCACCCTGCAACCAGGGACAGGAACTTTCCACCATTTGTTCATCCCAACTTCGACTTGCACCGCAATTGCCAGGAAAGTGGCACTCCATCCAGGAACGAACACCACCGCTGCCACCACCACAGCCTCTGGTTCTTTATTCTGATCTCTTTCTTTCTCCCGCTCGAGGAATTCGTGCAGCAAACACCTGCGTCGAGGGCCCCCGGCATCCGACCGCATTTGGACCCCTACCAGCAACCTGGAAACCTCCCGGTCTGTTCATTAAAGCGGGACCCCCGCTATAATTCACAGGCTTCCACCCTCCCTGGTTCTGCCAGCGAATTCGCAGACCGCCCGCGTTGCACCGGACGACGAGAGAAAACTGAAGTTCGGGTCCAGCAGCCTCACAGCTTTTGCTCCCGAACACTTCTCAACAGGTGCAACGGAAGTGGTCATCGCCAATTGAAGTCGACCGGTTCACCAGGACTCGAGTTGGGTGTCACTGCGTTCGGTGCTGGACTTTCTTGTCTTGGTCAACGACCGTTTGTCCCTTCGGCACACCTCGTCTCCCGACCAACGCAAGGGAAACCCGTTTTGACGCAGCATTCTACAGTTGGCACCTCCGACATCTGTGCATGCACCGATATCCTGTTCTGCAATGGAAACGTCCTCGCCGCTGGCCGCCATGCGGCCGGCGCCCCCTTCTACCTTTGGTCAACCCAACAACCTCTTCGCTCCGCACCTTGTGCCCAGTCCGCTCGGCAGGAACCAGTTCACCTTCCAACTCCCCAAGCCGGATACTTCAGCAGCAGACTCTCCGAAACTCTCTCCAGGGGCGTCACTAGCGGCGACTGTCACAGAACTGCAAGCTCACGACGTCGGTGAGTGCCCTGTTCTTCCTCGAACCCACGCCGTATAAAGATGAAGTGACTTACACGTAAGGCAATGAAACAGCAGTCCGATGTTCCCTACTCCACGCCGCGCCCTATTTACGACGGCCACCATGATGGATTCACTGGACGGCCGCGGTAAGCTAGCAGACTGGTCGTGGATACAATGAAGAATCATGGGACTGATCAGTTGCGTTTCCAGGCTATGTCACTACGCCGCCTCTTCCCGCTTCGTCTCCCGGCTGCGTCGATATGATGGATATGTCGCCTTTGCCACACAAGGCTCCCTTTGTGGCCCATGTTGAGCTTCCATCCCCGACCCCAGGATCCGATGATATGATGGCGGAAACACCCGTCCCGCGTTCCGCTTCTGTGCAGCCAACAAAACCTCTCGCGGCCGAGTAAGTTGAGATGATACATTCCTGCCAATGGCTCTGGACCCACATCAACTCACACATTGTTCAGACGGAGGAGAATCGGTCTCAGGAGGCCATCTCTCACCCGTGCCAAAGGCTTTAGCGCGATTGGCACCATTGGCCGTGCACAGGGCGAGAACCAGCCCCCACCATTCCGGTTTGGCGCCGGAGGCGATGGCCAACTTGGTTCTTCTCCTTCCTCCTCTCTATCGTTGAGCGAATGCTTCCAAGACTCGCCCCCGCAGGAGCGACGCCCGAAAAGTTCGAACAGCCCGTGTGTTTCCATGGCCGTCACCCGTCCCAAAGCGCATTTCAACAGCCTCAATGCCATGAGCGGTGTGCGCAACGGATCGCCAATCAACAGCCAAGGGCGGAGGACAGCGAACCCTTTCCTGCGCCCGCGGAAACAATATCGCCGCTCTTTGAGCATGTTTGAGAACGCTGGAGATGTCGTTGCGCCAAAGAAAGAGGGACCGGCGTTTGCCTGCACAGCACTGCAGTCGGTCATGGACCTCGAGGAACAAAACGAGCCTGTTCTCCCCCACTTCTTCCCCGAGGACGAATGTGACAACATCCCGCGTATCACGCGTGAAACGATGCTTGACGTGCTAGATGGAAAGTACAGCGACAGCTTCGAGCACAAGATGATAATTGACTGCCGGTTCGAGTACGAGTATGAAGGGGGCCACATCGACGGCGCGATCAACTACAACGACAAGGAGCTCCTGTCGAGCCAATTGGTCGACAACCCGATGCAGGGCCGCACGCTCCTCATCTTCCACTGCGAGTACTCCGCCCACCGAGCTCCGATTATGGCCCGCCATCTCCGCGCTCGCGACCGGAACGAGAATGCCGCCCACTATCCCAAACTCTTTTATCCCGAGATCTACATTCTAGACGGCGGGTATAGCGGCTTTTTCGCTGACCATCGGGAGCGTTGTTACCCCCAGGCCTATGTCGAGATGAACGCCGCCGAGCATGTTAACACCTGCGAGCGGGAGATGAACCGCCTGCGCCAGAACCGCCGGGGCTTGGGCCGCGCGCAAACCTATGCCTTTGGGCAGCAAGATCCCGGGCTGGAAGACTCGCCGACCGCTCCAGGCCGCGTCAACTCTCGCGACCGTGAAATTTCGAGGGTGCTCGCGGCATCCCCCAGCATTTGCCCCGAACGTGGGCCCGCGAGGCGGATGGTGTCTTATTAACACCTCCAGTCACGCTCTCGTATTTGCTGGCTCTTTGTTTCGACCCAACTCGGCCATACCCCAGCAAGCAGCGGCTTCCACTCGTCAGCTGCAGACTGTGAATACAGTTCTGACCATTCGGAGACTACCTAATCTTCCTTATGTCCTTTCAACTTCTTCAGCACCCATGCTTTTACCTCGTCCCCACATGGACCTGGGACCGGCTTGCCAGCGTAAGGACTGATGATCCAGCAATCGCCGGCAGGCCACAGCATACATGTTTTCGGCATTAGACCTTGTTGGCATAGCGTGGCGTTATCCGGGCTTGGGGCCTTGGATCCGGTATCCTTGGGCTCGGCGACCCGGCTTTTTTCCTTTTTCATCATACGACATTCTCATCGCGTTGGCATCTCTCAGTATTGCATCGCGTCTTTTTCGAGTATGCGGCAGATGTCTTCACTGGCTATGGGCGACCGAGATAGGCTCGGCTGACCCATGCCATGCCATTTACCAGTCCCATCGCGGCACGGCACTGGCCATTATTTCTTAATACCCTCGCGATCACGCTGATGGCAGCTCCCGGACCCAAGTCATAATCGCCGCGAGTTCAACTTAGGAGCTGTCTACGATCGCACCCACCCGCCCAGACGAGGCCTTTCCTCAGCATATCAATGTACGAACACTTCACCGGATAAAATCCCCTGGCTCAGTCCGACATACCCTGGGCCTTTACACACATTTCCTTTGTCAGTTTTACGCGAAACGTTGTCCCCCGGGAAGCCAAGACGTGGTGGACCAGAATGGGCAGTCCACGATTGCGTTTGCGGTGGTTTGCATGGTTTTTACTCTGGGATGAAGAGATGAGGGGAGGGGAAACTGCACTGTCAGATGTATCTGGAGGAATAGCATGGAAGATGTTTGCGGTGAAGGGGATGCCGAGTTCGGTGGTTGCGCTTTTCCGCCTAGAACTATGAGGCTGGGGAAGAGATGGATGATGATGGAGAGGAAGGAAAAAGGGGAGAAGTTTTGTGGTGGTGAGGCGGACTGGCGCTCCAGTTTTTGGGTCGCCGCCCTCGGCACCGATCTTCTTCTCTACGTCTCCGCCGTCTGTCTGCCCGGTACGAACCCCACACCACTCGCTCCGAGTGATTTCTGGGAGCTGGGACCTCTTCTATGTTTTCATGTTTCTCTTGGGCACCATCTTGATTGGGGTTTGGTTTTTCCGCCCTTTTTCTGTCTCTGATTGGGAGACATTTGGTTGCGAGAAAGCAACAAAACTTTGTACCCTACCGTCACTTCGAGTAGCGAGACACAAACTGAGACAAAAAAAAGTCGAAAACTATTTTACCAATTATATTGCACGCAAGTGACGTGAAACACTGCGAGTCCGAGTCTACAAGAAATATGTGCTGGTGGGTGGCTCTCAAAATCCGACAGTGTGCCACTCCAAACACAACCATCCCCCCCCCCCCCCCATTTACCCCTTTCCTATCATAACAGAGGTGTGACTCACTGAACCCCGAGTTCGGAAACAAAAGATGGTGTAGTGGCTGAAGGTACCATGATAAGTAAATATGTTACTGTCCTATCCCCGACATCAGCTTAATTGCGGCAAGTATTTAATCGCAACGCTGTGGTTCGATATAGGACAGGGATTTTCAGGTTCTGCTCCCCAGCTCACAGCAGCTCGCTCCTTGCACCTTGCCCGTCGGCCTTGGCCCCACCTCGGATCCGGCTCCGAATCTCCCTCGGTCGTGTGCAAGCGAAGACCCACTTCTCTAACATTCAATCGGTAGTCGCGATGGGCGGAAGGGCAGGGACGTAATCAACGCAAGCTGATGACTTGCGCTTACTAGGAATCCTCGTTGAAGAGCAATAATTGCAATGCTCTATCCCCAGCACGACAGAGTTTAACAAGATTACCTGGGCCTTCCGGCCAAGGGAGTACTCGCCTGTTGGAAATTTCAACAGCCACGGTACATGTACTTCTAAACAGGGGGTCAAATGTACCTATTTTAACAAGATGAGGTATCATCCGGTACGATGCGGTTGAGGCCGTTACGCCCGTAGCAGGCAAGCTCGTGGCGGACGTGGTGCGCATAGCAGACATGCTTGCGAGGATTTCTCGATGGCCCCTACTCGTCAGGTCATGCGAGAGATTGTGCAGCGCGATGTTTGCTTCTAAGTCGATCCAGCGCGTGTTCTCGCGGATGGTCCCGAGGAAGCGGGCAAATTCGGCTCGAAATTTCTGCTGCTTCCGCCACTTCAGGCTGATGCCCAGAATGTTGACTGGAGAATCGTCAGCACTATCGTACGGGAGACATCCAAGGTACCTGCTTCTCCGATAACTGAGCGGTAGAAATTTCATGACTTTTATCAGACATCGTGATTGAATTGATAATTGCCCGCCCGTTTGCGGGGCCAGGTACGAAACGATCTTTGGTTTTTGTGCAACGTACCAATTGGGTTCCGACCGAAAAAGATGGCGGCCTGCAGGAAAAACTGTATCAAGTCGCGATACAAGCTGCAGATAGCTTTTTCCATGCGCTTAGAGATGACGAGAAGGTTTGCGAAGCCTTTGATGCGGGGGAGATGTTTCGCGATGTGGTCGAGAATGTCCACAATATGATCAAGGTGCCTCTTGTGCCGGAGAGCGAGCTTTGGAGGAAATTGATTAGTATTCAGAAACCAGTAGTGGGGGCAAATTTAAGGGCCCAATGCTTTGGAGCATTTGCTGGATCGGCAGCATGGGTGTTCGAGATGACCTGGGCGAGGTTGTGGCGTCGTCTGATCGGTACCTAGTTATCAAAGGTGAATATCAATTACTTAGGTACGCACCTCGAGGAGAACGCAAACGGAGCCACAGATGAGCGCAGAAATCTCAGGATTTGACTGCACATAAATGCTGATGGATTTAGCGAAGAAGCTCAGTTGCTGGAAACTGGAATCAAGCCTAGCAAGTAGCTTGGGGATAAACCGATTCTTATACTCAGCGTCACAGCGAAGGAGCTTAGCAACGACATCATCCACGGTCCGCACCGTGTGTAGCCTTCGGTATTACTCCGGCAACAACACGCTCTTGAATTTGCTGAGAGCCTTGTCCCAAAGGACCTGGAGAATGGCCTCTGGGTCCAAGCTTGGCGTCGAGGTCGACATGGTCTTAATCGCGAGCGAGTGTGAATCCGTGTGTCACTATGCTCAGAACACGATTCCTGGTTTGTTTTACTTAGGAATGTGATGAGGGAAGTTGAGATGTCTTATAACCTACCGGAATACAGCTTGTAGCACCTGACATTCTGGACACCGTCCATCTGACGCTCGAGTAATTAGGCATCATTCACAGAGAGGCGATGGGATGACGCGAGGACAGGCGGACAAATGTTCCGGTGTTGCTAGCGCGTATTTGGTGCCATTATCATCCACATAAACCTGCAGGCTAGTCACACGATTCGTTCCCGTCGTGTAAGGCGAAGCTCTGTGGCAGTGAGATGTTCGGTTGCTCCCCCGCGCCTTCTCATACCTTTCCCATCCCGCCCGTGTTTCTCTTATTCTCGCACTCCTCTCCGGCCCATCCCAGATACCTAGGGTCTCTGCCGCTTTCTGCCTGCTTTCTCTCTCTCTTTCGTCAAACCTTCGCTTCTGCGCCCTCGACTCCCCCGGATCTACCAGGCAGAATTTTGGTGTAATACTACACGTCATCATGTCAGATTTGGAAAGAAAGTTACTCTCAGCATACGTCCAGCCCAGCTGCTATAACATCCGACTGGAACCGCATTTTGCCAAGCAAAGCTTCGTTGGACGGGTAGAGGTTTGGTCGGGGTGCCTTGTTCCTAACAAACTCGCTGCTCCCTTTTCGGTGACGCCCCGGTTAGCTAATGTCGCTCAACTTCCAGCTGCAAAAATCCATCTCAATCACCGCTGCGGCCCTTGAGTGGGAGGCCAAGCACTGGGATGTCCTGGATTCGCTACAGTACGGTGTTTTTCCCCGGCTATAAACCACTTTGTTCTTGACACGCCGCAATCTAACATGCAAATACTGTTAGCTATATCACAGATGATGACGTGGTCGAAATCCGAGTGCCAAAAGATCTTCCTGCCGGCGCCGAGGTTACCATTCTCCTGGATTATACGGGCAGGTTCGAAGATGATCTTGAGGGGTTCTACCGCTCTAAGTACAAAACCGCAGACGGAAGAACCCATGAACTCGCCGTGACATTCCTGGAGCCTACGTGTGCCAGACAGGTAAGATTCCGCATACACACCTCCCCTCTTTTGGATCTGCTCCTAAGAGATTGGGCAGGTGTTCCCCTGCTTTGACGAACCAGACCTCAAAGCCAAATTTGCAGTCTCGGCAGTGGTTGACGCATCTTTCCTCTGTGCTTCTAACATGCCTATTGAGCGCGTACAGACTGCTTCAGAATCAAAGCAACTAGTCGTCTTCCAACAGAGCCCGCTTATGTCATCCTACGTATGTGACAATTTCGTGCTCCAACTCAGCTCCCATCGATCGGATCCGGCTAACCTCCCGTCTCAATGGCTACAGCTAGTTGGTCTCGTCGCCGGCCATCTTTCTCGAGTCAAATCTACTAAGAGTAGAATTCCACTCTCTGTTCTCTGTCCCAAGGGTTCTGAGGCGCAAGCAAGTTTCGCCCTCGAGTTGGCTTCTGATGCCCTCGGCTTCTTCGAGACACTTTTCGACGACCAATATCCCCTTCCCAAACTTGACCTCGTGGCTGTGCCCGACTTCTCGTCGGGGGCTATGGAGAATTGTGGACTCATCACCTTCAGGATGAATCACCTACTCATAGATACCGAGGATTCCTCGCTCGACACAAAACAGGCAATTACTCGGGTTGTCTTGCACGAAATTGCCCACTCGTGGTTTGGCAATCTGGTGACGATGAAGTACTGGGATGGGCTCTGGCTCAAAGAAGGATTTGCGACGCTGTTGGCGTGGTATGCTTCTGACAAATTCTTCCCCGGCTGGCACCCCTGGGACAAATTCATCACAGACACACTTCAGGCAGCTCTTGAGCTGGATTCACTCGAGAACAGCCATCCAGTGGAGTTTGTGGTCAAGGACGCAACAAAGGCAAAACAACTGTTTGACCACATCTCGTACAAGAAGGGCTGCTGCGTCCTCAAGATGCTCCTGGATGATTTGGGCGAAAAACGTTTCTTCCAGGGCCTCAAGCTCTACACCCACCGCCACAAATTTGGGAATACCGAGTCTGCGGACCTATGGCACGCATTTCGGGACTGTGGTGACCCGGAGGTGCCCAACAGAATGCGGGTCTGGACAAAGGAAACCGGATTTCCTGTTGTCACTGTCACAGAGGAATATAATGATGCCAACACAGATTGCGGAGAGGTTACTGCACTACGCCTCCACCAGGAACGCTTCCTGATGAATAGAAACAGTGGTTCTGACCGCAAGAGAGTATTCTATCCTCTACATGTCTCTATTCGCTCGGAGAGCGGTGTTGACACATACCACATGCCAGAGCAGGAGATTGTTATCACCGTACGAGGCAAGATATTTCTGAAGGTCAATGCAGACCACGGGGTTCTTTTTCGGACGTCGTATTCATCACGGCATCTCCAGAACCTCATCCAGGCGGCCGCAGATGGTCTCCTAACCTTGCGCGACTGCATCGGCCTGTTGGCAGACGTATCGGCCCTCACCGCAGCGGGTATCAACAAAACCAGTGAACTGCTAGACATTTGTCTTGGGTTTCAGTTCGCGACGGAATTCTCAGTGTGGCAAATGATAGACAAAAATCTCACCCAAGTCCTATCCATTTTGAAATTTGAGGACGTTTCAATGACGAAAGCTCTAACTAGGGCGGCGGCGAGGTTTTGGGATCCAAGGCGCGGGAACTGGGATGGGAAATGCCTGATGACGACGACGAATCTCAAACGGCATTCAAAACCTCCATGTTTAGCGCAGCCGGGTTGGTAGGCGACGAAGAGTGAGTTTCCAGAATTCTGTCACCAAATCGATGGAGCAGCCAAAAAAGACTAATGCGTGGGGCAATAAAGGGTGCTCCAGGAAGCAAGACGGCTGTTCACAATGCGAATAGCCGGCGATGAAAACGCTATTTCGCCGCATCTCCGGTGGGAAGTGTTCGTCATCGTCGTCGCGCATGGGGGCCGAGCCAAGGCCGAAGCACTGTTGAGCCTTTGGAAAACGTCATCAAACAGCGATGAGAGGTATCTGGCACTCGAGTGCCTCGGGCGCGCCAGTGACGCCTCACTGGTCAAGTGGATTCTTGGACTCGTTTTTACAGAAGATATCAAAGATCAAGATGTACGAGCGAGCCTACCACATACAATACCCGCCTTCCTCCCTCACCTGGCATCCACCCCCACCAACTAACTATTGTCTACCTTGCCCAGATATACCTTCTGTTATGGCTGATGGGATCATCCGCGCACGGCACCACGGAACTGTGGGAATGGGCAAAGCTAAATTGGGGCAGGGTTGAAGAAAGCCTGCCCGCATCAATGTAGGCGCTCATCCTGGGTCTCGTACTGGAAGGACTCAACACCTCGTCTCAGCTGGAAGATGTTAAGACATACTTTTCTGGCTGTGATACGAGACAATACGAGCAAGCTCTGGCGCAGAAACTAGAGCGTATAGAGACTCGAGTGCGGTGGGCTGCGCGCGATGTGGGCAACGTTGCGCCATGGTTGAAGACTCACGGTTACCTAGAAGAGTGTCAGTGGAGCAACTAAAGTCCACCCTCCCCAAAACAAGGAAGGTTTTGGTTTTTGTAATTGTTCAATCGGAGTCAAACGTTCTACGCTTTCTCAGGCAGCTTCTTAAACGGGCCCTTGCAATGGCCCAAGCAAACCAGAAGCCGTCAGCGGGCTGACCACCAACCCACTTTCGGATGCGGACCCTTTGGCCAAAAAAGCTACTTAAACTCGAAAGGGAAGCAAGAAATCGAGAAAAGAAACCAAGTAAAAAAAAAAAAAAACAAGAAAAGAAGAGGTAAAGAATACCGAGCAAAATAAATTAAATAAAAGAAACGGTGTCAAATAGAAAGTAAAATTTTGGGCTTCCGAATGGCTTTCTTTTAGTTCCTCTGGCCGAAGGTTCAGGCAACACTCCAGTTCATTCGGCGTTGTTGGGCCAGGGAGTAATTACCCACTTCTCTCCAATGCCAAGGACCGATCGGGCCGGGTATATGGTGTTGGCTGGATTCAGCGAGGTACGAGAATATTATGCGTTCAAGAATGATCAGAATTAACTTAATATATTTGGCTATTCTGCCTTCCGTTGCCAATGAACCTATTGGTCTCGTCGTTTTGTACCTGTTCGCACCGCCGCAGTATTTAGAAATACATGATTTTGTCCTGTGGAAGTGGTGCTATTCCCAAAGCGAGTCGTTTCGATAAGATAAGGCTTGCCGTCGCGTCTTGCATCACTGCAATACGCGCTCAGAGGTTCTGGATCCAAGCCAACCTCATGCGATAAGCGACAGCAAGTGGACAACAAGTTCGAACCCGACAACCTCTATTGATGCAATTAGGAATTGAGGGTTCTATCTTAATCCTAACTATTTAGCATTGATGTAAGGGCGCACCTCTAACCTTAATTGTCAGGATCTGGCTACCTGCTGGGATGAATTGAGGCCAACCTCAAGTTTCAACCTTTCTTCGGCCACCTCCCGAATATTCCCTTCCTCTCTCATCCATCTATAGCCTGGCAGTTCTGGGCCTTTACATTGCAACATGGCTGCCAAAATGTCAGTCGCAAACACCCGATGCTTCAGCGACGTCACAGCTACTGACCAGATCAGCTTCGTTTTCGGTAGCATTAATGGCCAGCTCCGGTCTGCATTCGGCAAACTCTCAGCATTGCACACCAAAAACAATTTCAGCTTCGCAGTTGTAACGGGGAATCTATTTGGCGAGGCGCAAGATGATGACCAGCTCACTGACCTACTCGGGGGGCGCATCGATGTCCCATGCCCTACCTACTTCACGGTAGGCACTGCATCGTTACCCCCGCAAGTCGTTGAGAGGATCGAAAAAGAGGAGGAAGTTGCACCCAATCTCCATTATCTGGGCAAACGCAGCGTCACAAAAACCTCAGAAGGCGTGCGCATCGTCGCCTTAGGTGGTGTGGTAGACCTGAACATTGTGGCCGGTCTATCCAAGGACCAGCATGAGCCCATCCATACGGAAGGGGATGCCAAAGCCCTCCGGGGAGCCAACAATGCAGACATCCTTCTCACTACTATGTGGCCCACGGATGTCTGGAAGAATAGTTCCAAAGCGAAAGAGCTGAAGATTGGCTCAGAAACGGCATCTTCCAGTCAAACCATCGCAGAGCTCTGTGAAGCCCTGAAACCCAGATACCACTTCGCCATGTCGCCCGACAACTTCGCCTTCGAGCGGGAGCCGTTCTTTCCCGATGCTGCAGGCGAAGATAAGGAGAAAGGCATTGCCCTTACGCGCTTCATCTCACTGGCACCCTGGGCGAATACCGCCAAGGCCAAGTCCATGTACGCCTTCACTCTCAACCGGGAAGCCATCATCACCCCGCCGGACGGAAGCACCCTTACGCCATTCTACAAAGCCTCGCCCAAAAAACGCACCTTCGACCAAGCCGAGTTCTCCCGCTTCTCCAGCGGCCACCACGGGCACGACAACGACCACCGCCGGCGCAAGCACCACCGGCGCGACCGGGACCGCGAGCGCTCCCCGCCCCCGGGGCCGGACCGCTGTTTCTTCTGCCTGTCCAACCCCAACCTGCCCACGCACATGGTCTGCAGCGTCGGCGAGGACACGTACCTTGCTACTGCCAAGGGCCCGCTCCCCGCCGCCGACACCTTCCAGGCGCGGGGCAGCGGCAACGGCGGCGGTGGCGGCCTGGACTTCCCGGGCCACTTCATCATCACGCCGCTCACCCACGCCGCGTCGATCAGCGCCGCCGCAATGGGCGATGAGGAAGCGGGCAAGACGTTCGCCGAGATGACGCGGTTCCGCAACGCCCTCCAGGGCATGGTCGCCGGCGCGTCGAAGCGCAGGCTGGGCGCGGTCACGTGGGAGATCAACCGCGCGCGGAACATCCACGTGCATTGGCAGTTCCTGCCCGTGCCTACGGATATGGTGAGTAAGGGGCTGGTGGAGGCGGGGTTCAGGGTCCTGGCGGAGGATATGAAGCTGGGCAAGTTTGCCGTTAAGGAGTTTGAGACGGCTGATAAGGTGCCGGGGGATTATTTCCGGGTTTGGATCTGGGCGGAGCAGGATGGGGAGGATGGCGGCAAGGTGGTGGGCAAGAGCCTGCTGCTGCCGTTCGACGAGAGCGTGCGGTTTGACCTGCAGTATCCGCGCAAGGTGATGGCCAAGCTGCTTGGGCTGGAGGATCGGACGTATTGGCAGGATGTTGTGCAGTCGGAGCAGGAGGAGACGGCCGATGTGGCGGCTTTCAGGAAGGCGTTCAAGGAATGGGACTTTACGCTGGCTGGCTAAGCAGCGGTGGTGTTCTCGGACTGGACAGACGACGGAGCTGCGGGGAGTGTACGATCAGCGACTTCACGGAGATGGAGTTTAGACGACATCGAGAAATGGGGATCAAACACCGTGGTATGGCTCAGATAGCCTAATTATCCCTGGGGTGGGCCGCCGATAGACGGAATATGGAAATTAACCCGACCGAACGCCTCGAGCATCTTGTCCTGCCATGCCGAGACCCTTCATTATCGTATCCCACATTTCACCCATCCGCCTAACCATCCGCCGGGCCAACCGCCCAGCCGTCCATCCTACTCTCCACGCCACAACCCCCCATTTGGAACCCATCCGTCTAATTCGCTGGATACTGCGAGATCCTGAAGAAAACCCGGGCAACGTTAGTTCGCATCCCTTTCCCGGACACATCAACCCGGAACCAGTGAAACCGAAAACGTACTGCTTAACCCGCGGCTTATGCATGGTCCATCCGCCGCAGTTCACGCACCGCAGCATGTCGTTGGCCGTGAACCTCGTGACGACGCCGCACGCCGCGCACAGGTAAGGGACCTTCTTGTCCGCCGTGGCATAGTCCGCCCGCATGGCGGTTTGCGGCGTCTTGGACCAGATCCGCTGCGGCTGGTTCAGGCTGCGGCTGGCTGTCGCGGCGCTGACGATGTTGGTGCGCCGGGCCGGGGACTGTAGGATGACATCGGCGTCTCCAAGGGCCTCGCCGTTGTCGTCGCTGCCGTTGCTGAAGGCGGCAGTACTATTGTCGTTGTGGATGGAGGGGGTGGTGGGGGTTTTGTTGCCGTTGTTAGCCTCTTCCTGAACGGTAGGCTGGCGCAGAGGCGGCTCGTAGGCCTCGCGGAAGGACATGGTGGGCAGAGTAGTTCTTTTCAGGTCGGTTTGAATGGTTTGTAGATGTGGTTGGTATGTGTCGGTCAAGTTCTCTCGCCTTGTCGTGTGGTTGATGGCGAGTGTGTAAGTGCGCGAACGCCTTGATGCGTTTGGGGCAGTCCGGAGGAAGTTGCCATTTTGCCTATGAGTTTGTTTTTTTCGGAACGGTATGTTATTGCCTGTACAGACTGCTAGTTTGATCTTTGGGAAGGTGCGGAGGTTCAAGTTCTTCGTCGTTCGTTCTTGCTACAACAATTATCGGAGGGATGAGAGGTACAGTGCGAGGCAAGCTAGAAATTAACTGTGCATTGTAGTTTCCACCCGTTTATGGATGCCATGCATTAAACGGTGTCTTGGCAGAAACCCCACCGTTGCTTATCGGCCTTATCTGGGCTCGGCTGGCGCTCGCCCGGCCAAAAAAAATTAGAGGTCGAAGTGATCGAGGGTTGGGACCTCCAACTGCGCGTCGCTGTCGCAGGGGAAGGGTTTACAACGGCATCTCGGACGCCGCCACAATGCCTTCCACTACGTCCGGCCGGATTGTCAAGACTTCGAGGGGGGTAAAAAAGACCCCCCACCAAAAGAATCACCGATGGGAATCGTTCAGCACCAAAATCTCGAAACTCCATTCCCTTGATCCCCTCCGCAAAGTCCGCCGCCACGACCTCGACGCCGAAGACCTCGATGCGACGACCTCATACCTGCGCAATGGCTTGGGCAAATGGGCCGAACTCAACATCTCCCGGCCGTACATGGCTTTCAAGCGGCAGGTCAACCCCCTCACCGAATCGCTTGCCCAAATCCTCTACCATGAAGACCGCATCATGGACCTGCTCTCCGAGTACATCGCGAAGCACGAGAAAGAATCTCTCGAACCGCTGCTGGACTTGGTAACAGCATTCGCCCACGATCTCGGCGTTCGATTTGAGAAGCACTACCCTCGCGCTCTCACCCTAATCGTCAACTTGGCCAACAAAATCCACGACGTCGAAGTTATTGAGTGGACCTTTGCCGCCCTGGCCTTCCTTTTCAAATACCTATCGAGGTTACTTGTTCCCGATCTCAGACCGACATACGATGCCGTGGCTCCCCTCATGGGTAAAGCAAGGAACCCTGGCCACATCGCGCGGTTCGCTGCTGAGGCTATGAGTTTCCTGGTCAAGAAGGCGTCTGCCCCGGGCCACAAGGACAAGGCGCTGCCTCTGCTGGTAGAACACGTGAGGGAGGATCTCGATGGTATGGTCGGGCAAAAGCAGTTTGAGCTGTACAGCCAGGGCATCATGACCATGTTTGCCGAGGCAATCAAGGGGGTGGGCGATGGCATCCATTCAACAGGGCCCGAAATCTTTGCCGCTCTCCAACGGCACGTACCCGAGAAGGAGCTGGAGTTGCCCGAGCAGGCTGTTTGGACGGGAGTCTGTTGCGGCGTGCTCACCAGCATCATCCACCATACCAATATGGATACCTTCAAGGGTATTGAAACCAGGATCGTCGAGGAGGCATCGGATGGGCGACGCGCAGCGCTGTTCATCCAGATTTTGGGGACCATGGTCGGTGTGCGGAAGGGTACCCGCGTCCACGATTGGGCAACCCTTGTGAAGGCACTCGGCCAGTTGCTCGGCTCTTTCGCCGCCCAGAGGGAGCAGATTGAAGCCATGGATCCCTCGCAAGTATGGCGAAGAATCATCGTCAACACCGCGGTTGTCTGGGGTCAGGCCCCCATCGATGCGCTTCTCCCTGCCTTATCCGCCTTTAACGGGATTATGACCAAGGAACCTCTAATGCGTTGGTATATTCTCTTTTGTTCCTATTTGGCCGATCTCAACTCGGAGAGATTCCGTGGCTTATTCATGAAGGACTTCCAAAAGTGGGTTCTCTGGATTCCGTCCACCCAAGCCTCATGCTAACGTGACTAGGTTCATTGTTGCGCATTGGTCCCTGTGCGCAAACGAAGACGTGCTCTGCGTACTATTGCCGCGTATGGTGGAAGCTGGCGGACTCCCAACCCCTGGAGAGAAAGAGACCTTCCAGCTCCCACAATCTTGGCAGGATCAGATTGTTAGCAAGTTTGTCAGGCTCGGGGACACCCCTTTCCCGGAGAGCGGCGGGTTCGGCAAGGATCCAGAAACCTGGAGAGACAAGTGCTTACCGAAATACTCGGCACGCTTGCGTGTCTTGGAGGCGACCTCGGTACATCCTTCCACGAATGCCAGGATAGCCGAGGTTTTGCTCAAGAAGCTGAAGCTTGCTCTCCGACCATCTTCGTCGCTGCCTACCGACGAGGCACATTTCATCCTTAGCGATGGCTTTCGCGCCTATCTCCGGATGTGTGCTGCTGCCGGCTCCATTGATCTAAGCTTGGCGCCATTGCTGAGGGCCGCCGCGCCACGATTCTGCCGTTCCCCAGCTTTTCTCGAAGCTCTGTTGGATTACGAACGCGAAGTTAGCGGGAAAGTCCAACGGTCTCCGGTAACCAGCAATGGCGACAACCAGCAGGAGGAAGAAGACCCTCTGCTGAGGTGTCTGACCGACAACCTCTCCACTCCGTCCCACGAACTCCGACTTGCTTCCCTCAAGATCCTCGAAATTTTGGAGTTCACCCCTGACTCCAATTCGGCTCTGGCCGCCATGATCCAGGTGGAAGAATTACCCCTGAACCTCCAGAGTGTGCGGACTATCGCAGTCCATCTCCGCAAACTCAGTCAAGTGTATTCTCACATTGACCAGGAATCTTGGCTGATGAGAGCCATTCCGACATACTTGTTTGGCATGACAACTGTACCCCTGTCGCCGGTTTGGGATGATGCTGTCGAGGCAATGAAGAAGGTGGCAGAGAGAAAACAAGGGGAAGAGGTCTTGGCCGAGATCGCCTTCGAATGGTTAGCAGTACCAGCCCCGCAATGGACCGGGCCCTACAAGCCGCCGGCGGAGGACAGTCACAAGGCTCTGACCAATTTTGACTGTCTGAATATGATGGCCCTAAACGAAAGTGCTAACGGCACGGGAAGCGTCATGGACGACCCCTCTCAAGATATGCTGAGCGCTTTTGAAGAGGGCCAGAAGATTATCGAGTCGCCCACGGATAGAGCACGTGGAAAGGCACTCAAAGCGTTCACTGCCTTGCCTGTTTTGGCCGAGAAGCGGTCCAGAAAGCTAGTGCCGTATCTATTTTCGTTCACCGACGAGGGTGAGACGCAGTCGGAAGAGGCTGAAAGCGATGCCGAAGAATCGCCAGAAAGCAGCTGGTCTCTCCCCGACCGGAAGGCCCTCGTCGGGGTATTTGCGCAGTTCAATAACCCCCGAGTCCTTTACGAGAGCCAGAAGGTATTCCGGGCTCTACTGAAGCTACTGGCAAATGGTGATATCGAACTTCAAAAAATGGCTCTCAAGTCGATTTTGGCTTGGAAGAATGACTCGATCAAGCCGTACCAAGAGCACCTCGAATATCTCCTCGACGAGGCGAGGTTCAAGAACGAGCTCACCGTTCTTTTCCAGGGCGACAACCAAATCCGGCCCGAGCACCGTCCGGAGGTCATGCCAGTCCTCCTCCACCTTTTGTACGGCCGAACTATCTCGAAAAAGGGCGTGGCGAGTGGCCGGCATGGCCTTCACGCAACACGCCTCGCCGTCATCCGGCAGCTCAACGTCGATGACATGGGTAGTTTTCTTGACATTGCCCTCGGCGAGCTTCGTAGCATCCAGGTGGTTGATGCTAATGGGCTCCGCGAAAGTGTGTTGGCTCACGAGGCTCTTCCAGTCCGGAAGCAAGTCGGCCTTCTCAACATGATCGAGTCCATTGTTAATGAGCTTGGGACGAGTGTGTCGCCGTACATGGAACCTCTTGTCAACGCCGTTCTCTATTGTCTCTTCTTTTCCTGCCGCCAACTTGGCTCTAGCTCGGAGGAGCAGGATGCTGAGGAATCCGACGACCAGACCCAGAATGCTTCTTTGTTCAGGGTTGTGCGTACAACAGCGCTAAAGTCTCTGTCCAAGTTGTTTCAAAACGCACCGGAATTCGACTGGGTCCGGTATCAGGATGTGATGGTGAAGGAGGTCATTAGTCCTCGGATCGATAAGCTCCCAGCCGAGACGACGCAGGGCGTCTCTGCTACCTGGAAGCTCCTCAGCACCTGGGCCACCCTCTCCAAGACCGCGTTGTTTCTCTCCGTCGATAAGAGAGTCCTGCCCAAGATTGTCGAAACTCTTGGGATCGAGAAGGCCAAGGATGAAGTCAAGGTGTTTGCGCTTGAAATTCTCAAGAGCCTCATCAACCTTGCCCAAGCCCCTGCCACCGAGTCCGAGTTCAATGATCGTATCAAGTCTGAGCTCTTGGTCCCGAACATCGATCTTATGCTCAAGAAGATCGGCGGTCTACTGCGCGACCAACCCGATATTGGCCGGGATTTATTGGGAACCGCAGTCGATACGGTCGTGCTTATTGCACCTATCGTAGAGACATCGACCAGTGTCCAAGACATGGTTGAGATCGCCACATTCCTGCTTAACCAACCACTGCGCAAAGTTAACCCCAAAATAAAGGGGTCGATTCTGTTGATTCTGAAGCAATTTATTGTGCTCGAAGACCTTCAGAGTAATGCGGAGTTGAAGAGCAAGGTTTACGGCACCATCGCTTCGTTGTTTGGATTCTTCAAAGATCAGCAAAATAGGCAAATGCTTGCTGAAGTTCTCGAGGTCTTTGCCGCACGAGAGACATGGGCGCAGGAAGTGGCTGGGATTTGCCGCGATCTCAACTCTTACGTCGTCCGGCGTTTGGATCGACCAGACTACAACACCCGGCTGTCAGCCTTCACCTTAATCACCAAGGACCGCGATGCACCGTTCACAATTGATCAGTGGAAGCCTCTCATTCACAACCTTCTCTACTACATTCAACAGGACGAGGAGTTCGGTGTGCTTTCTTCCAACGCTGCTGACGGTCTCTGCAAGTTCATCTCGGCAGCTGAAGAGGCTTGGACGAGCCCACAGCAGGCTGCCTTTGTGGAGATTCTGTCAGACATAATATTGCCGGAAATTTACTCAGGGGCAAGAGAATCCTCAGAGACAGTGCGCCGCGAGATCCTGCGCCTATTCGGGTTCCTCGTTGCTCACCTACCGAAGTGGGAGCCGGTTGCTGATCTTGTCCCCTTGGTGCCCGTGTCTGATGACTCGGACCAAGCTTTCTTCTTCCATGTCTTGAGCCCGGCAGTCTCGCGTCAGCTCCAGGCCCTGCGGTTGCTCGAGGCGGCGAACGACAAGAGCGAGCTGCGCAGCAAACATATCAGCCAGTTCTTTATCCCCCTCTTCGAGCACTTCATCTTTGATCGTCCCGAGGGCGGCGATGACCAAGGTTTGAGCGCACAGGCGACAAACACCATTGCGGCATTAACCGCATCTCTAGAGTGGCACCAATACCGGGCCATATTTCGGAGATTTGTGTCATACGTCGAAACTAAGCCGGACTGGAAAAAGCGCGTTATTCGCCTTCTAGAGAAAGAAGTGGACGCCTTGTGCACGGCCGCCTCCCAGAGGCCGGGTGATGCCATGGATGTCGATGGGGAGGCGGCTGACGCGAAACCCCGTCGGCTCGCTACTACACTTCCGAACCAGGAGAAACTCGGCGTGGAGATCATCAACAGCTTCCTGCCCACACTGCTGAAGTACATCCACGAGAAGGATGAGACCACGGTCAGCGCCAGAGTCCCGGTAGGAGTGATTATTGCCAAGCTCCTTATCCTCCTTCCGGAGGAGCGCCTCAACGAGAAGCTCCCGAGCGTGCTCACAGACATCTCCCACATTCTCCGGAGCAAGGCGCCGGAGTCTCGGGACATGGCTCGTGATACCCTTGCCAAGATCTCCGGCATCCTAGGCCCCGACAAGCTCGAGTTCATCCTGAAGGAACTGAGGGGTGCTCTAGTGAGGGGCCACCAGCTGCACGTCCTCTCTTACACGCTGCATTCCATCCTGTTGGTCGTCATTCCAACGTACAAACAAGGCGATCTTGATTATTGCTTACCCTCCATCATGTCCGTCATCATGGATGATATCTTTGGGGTCGCAGGCCAGGAAAAGGATGCTACAGAATACGTGAGCAAGATAAAGGAAGTGAAGAGTAGCAAGAGCCAGGACTCCATGGAGTTGATTGCGAAGACTGCCTCCATCACACGTCTTGGCGATCTCACCTTCCCGCTGCAATCCCTTCTCATGGAGAAGCTCGACGTACGCACCACCCGGAAGATCGATGAACTACTTACCCGCATTACAAAGGGTCTCCTGGAGAATCCGGCGGCTGCCTCACAGCAGATCCTTGTGTTTTGTTACGAAGTCGTTCAAGAAGTGTACAAGAGCCAGAAGCCAGACGCTGAGCCCAAAATTGACCCCCGGCTCAAGAGATACCTCGTTCAGAGAGCCGCCAAGAAGAGCGACGGGGGCGTTACCAGCAAACGCACCTATAAACTCATTAGGTTTGCGATCGATATCCTCCGGGCCGTCTTCAAGAAGCACGACGGCCTCCGCACTCCTGGGAACGTCGCTGGGTTTCTGCCCATCCTAGGCGATGCGGTGTTGTCAGCAGAAGAGGAAGTCAAGATTGCATCCTTCAAGCTTCTCAACGTCCTGGTAAAAGTACCCTTCAAGAACGGCGATTCTAGCAACCTATACAAGGTCGCGCACAAGGAAGCGATTAAAGCCATCTCCATGTCACCAACCACCACATCCGACTTGGCCCAGTCAGCACTCAAGCTCATCTCCGTCGTCCTCCGAGACCGCCGCGAGATTCCCATGAAGGACGCCGCGTTGGATATGCTACTCACCAAGCTTAAGGACGACCTGACAGAACCCATGTACCGACACGTCACATTCAGCTTCCTTCGGTGTGTCCTCGACCGCAAACTCGAGACGGCGTCGGTGTACGACACACTCGACCACGTCGGCACCATCATGATCACCAACGACGACAAGGACACGCGGGACCTGGCTCGCGGTGCCTTCTTCCAGTTCCTGCGCGAGTACCCACAGAAGCGGAACCGGTGGGAGAAGCAGCTCAAGTTTATTGTAGCCAACCTTAAATACGAGCGCGAGGGCGGCAGGCTGTCGGTGATGGAGGTTATCAACCTCTTGCTGAAGAAGTCGGCGGACGAGTTCACCCAGGAGGTGGCGGCAACATGCTTCATTCCCTTGGTGTTCGTTCTTGCGAACGACGATAGCGAGAAGTGCAGGCTGGCGGCAGGCGAGCTGATTAAGGAAGTCTTCCGGGTGTCGGATAAGGAGCGGCTGTCTAAGTTCTTGACACTTTTGCGGTCGTGGGTGGTGCAGAATGGGAATCCAGCGGTGCTGAAGCTGGCTCTGCATGCATTTGGGCTCTTCTTTGAGGGCCGGGAGCCGAGCCCCAATGATAACAAGGACGTTATGCTTGTTACCGGCAAGTTGGTGGAAGTGCTCGGCGACGAGGAAGCGCTCGAGGCTGACTGGGAACTGGCCAACATTGCATTGACAACGGTTCAGACGCTTGTTCACAAGCATCCGCACAAGGTCCTGGCGCCAGAGTCGGATGAGTTGTGGTCCGAGGTCCAGGCATGCCTGGCCCACTCGCATACCACCGTCAAACTGAGCTCCACCAAGCTGCTCAGCATGTACCTAGCTGATTTCGCGCGGAATGCCGGCAAGGGCCAGAAGCTGCCGCTGACAGGGTCACATGGTTTGAAGCTTGCTGATGACGATGTCAACGACTTGGTCAGGCTATCGCTCGGAATCCTCTCCGCACCGGAAGTCGACGAGGCACTTGCCCAAGAAGCCGTCCAGATAATCCTGTTCCTGGGCGGCTTCCTCCAATCAGAAAAAGACGAGGACGAGGACGAGGGCGATGAAGAAGACGAAGATGAAGACAACGATGCCAAGGAGTCCGCGCAACACGCCGACATGAAGTATCTCTTCTGGAAGCTCTCCTCGATCATCCGCAAAGAGCGCCAACCCAGGGCTGAGATGCTCGTCAGCAAGCTCGCAGCCATGGAACTAATCGAGGCCTTCGCCGTCAAAACGCCGACCGACACCCTGCTGGCTTCGGTCAAGACCATCCTCCGGCCGCTGCGCAACCTGACAGACCCGTCGATCCGCCAGCCGTTCTCGCTCAACGAGGTGTTCAAAGCGCGCTTCGAAACCCTCAAGTCCAAGGCGCAGGCTATCATGGAGACACTGCAGCGGCGGCTGGGCAACGCCGAGTACACCAAGGCCCTGCTGGCAGTGGGCGAGCACATCCGCGAGAGGCGGCAGCAAAGGTCTAGCAAGCGCAAGATTGGGGCGCTGACGGCGCCGGAGAAGCATGGGCGGGAGAAGCGCAAGAAGTTTGAGAAGAAGAAGGAGAAGAGGAAGGTTAGGGGTCAGGAGCAGAGGGATCATAGGCAGACCTTCCAGTAGATGGGGGCTTGATGATGGGTTGGCTGTGCTGTTTCCAAAATAATTGTTTGGGTGGTGGTCTATTCTAGTTTGGAGTTTTACAAGATAGTGTTACATGAGATTTGGTGTTCTCGGGTATGCCAACGCCGTCGTCAGATCTATCCGCATCGTACATGCTCCGCCTCCTTTTTCCATCATCATCATACATCATCCTCTATCCGTTCATGCCCCCTGTAGCCCCGCCATCTCGGCATCGCATTGCGGCTGTAGCCACATACATGGTAAGGCGCGCCGAATGTTGATTACATTCCCCCCCCAGCCGGCGAGGATAGCAGTTCACCGCTGGGTGCCGTACCCAGCAACGGCCCGCCTGAGCTCCTCCTTCCCCCACACCCACACATCCCTACCAAGCCGCACCCTCCTATTCCTCCGTCTTCTTATCCCCCGGCCTCACGCTCTTAAAAGTCGACCCAGGCACGAAACCCTCCTCCCCCTCCACCTTATCCTTCTCGACCCACGGCTCCCGCACACTACTCGTCCCATCATCCCAAAACTCGAGGTCCCCTTCCTCGCCCAGCGTGCCCTTCTTGACCAGCTCGCCCTTCTCGCGCAGGAGGTCCTCCACCGTCATGGCCGTGTCGCCAAAGATGCGCAGGTGGTCGCTGATGACGTGCCGGTTCTTGCAGCTCGGGCATGCGATCAGCACAGACCCGTGGTGGTACCCGTGCTTGGACACGCGGTGCCGCGACCGCGTGTCGCAGGGTCGGCAGGTGAAGGTTAGCTCGTAGTGCGGCTGCTGGAGGATGTTGGAGGTTTGGGGTGGTTGTTGTTGCTGGGTTTGGGTCGAGTCCGGTTGTGGCTGGGGTGACGAGGTGGCTGTGGCGGGGGCCGTTGGGGACGGTTCTGAGGGGGAGGGGGAGGGTGTGATTGTTTGTTGCTGCTGTTGTGGTTGTTTCTGGCCGAATGGAGATCCGTTGCGTGGACGGGGGATGCTATGAGCGAGGCGGGTTGTCGTTGATGCGACGGATACGGGGAGGTGTCGTCTCGAACAGAGGAGCGAGAGGGTTGCTGAGGTTCGGGTTGGGGCTGGTGAAGCCAACCTGGTAATGGTTGGTATGAACGAGAGGGAGCACTTCGAAGCCATGGCTAGATGGTCTGTTGATCAGAAGTTATGAGTCGAAAAAGGCAAACTGTGGAATTCAAGTCGCAGGTCGAGCAGGTAAAACTACGGCAGACGTCACCGAGACTCGGCACTCGCCGCCAGCTCCCAAAAAAAAGGTGTTATCGATAAGAGAGCTCACTTTGCCAAGACTCTAACACCTTTCTGGTAGGAGGGGCAATCAAGTGGTGATACGAAGGAGGTACGTAGTACACGAGCAGCAGTTCCCAGGCATCAGTTTCCACTGTTCCGTGCGCGTCGGGACTCGACTCGAGACACTGTTGATGCTGTGCAACGGCTTTAGCTCGATTTTGCCACTGTTTTCCTCACTGTTCCCCACACTAAAATTCCACGATCCAACAAACAGCACAACAAAGGTGCTGACTCGGTACTCCCTCCTTTGACGTCGTCCAAATCAATTGTGCCGAACCACTTCGCCGTCCCACATTTGGTCGATTCTCCAGCTCTTTACCTGGCGCCTCCCCGAACCCAGCCGCGCGGGCTATGGGAGGTGGTTGTGTAAAAATATCGATCCCACGCTCTTCCTCGTCGTCAATTCTTGGCTCTTGGCCTAGCAACTCCCATTGCAGCCCGCCCGCACCCAAGCCCCTGATTTCCCAACGCAGCCATTTCAACCCGACGTTTCCCCCCCTCATTGATTCCAAGCCGATCAAGCACGGAATTTGCTACGATGGCTTCCAGACCAAATAGGATCCGGCCGATCCGAAGGGTATGTCTCCCTGGAATGTCTCCTGCGTTCTGTTCTCCGCCGCTCCGTACCAACAACACCCATCCTGACTGTCGCAGCCGATTATGAGCAAGGACAACGACGAGTATACGCAGTGCTTAGAGGTTCTGAAAGAGGCTCTCACCGACATTCACAATAAGAACGCGACCCAACTCTCCTTCGAGAATTTATATCGAGCCTCGTACAAGATCGTCCTGAGGAAGAAAGGGGAGCTTCTTTACAATAGCGTCAAGACATTCGAAGAACAATGGTTTCGGCACCATGTTCTACCACCTATCGCCGAGCTCGTTTCGGGAAACCTAATCAGCATTGCTCTGCTACAGATGCCGGGGTCGAGCGCACACGAACGACGGCAAACGGGCGAACGGTTTTTGAGGGGAATACGCGACACATGGGAGGATCATAATACGTCCATGAACATGGTCGCTGACATTCTTATGTACCTTGAGCGGACCTATGTCTCTGAGTCCAGGCGGCCCTCCATCTTCGCAGCGACCATAGGGCTGTTCAGGGACCACATTCTGCGCAACAGCCTGGGCGAAGCTTCAGAGCAGCTAGACCAGCCTTTTATGATCTTCGACATTTTGAACGCTGTTGTGTTGGATTTGGTCAATATGGAAAGAGACGGTGACATTATCGATCGGAATCTCCTTCGGCAAATCACATCCATGCTGGAAGCTTTGTATGAGACGGACGAGGAGCTGGAAAATGCGAAGCTCTACTTGACCGTTTTCGAGCCCCGGTTTCTCAACGCAAGTAAAATTTTCTACAAGAACGAGTGCGAGAAGCTCCTCCGCGAGGGCGATGCCAGCTCGTGGCTTCGTCACACCCAACGCCGACTTCATGAAGAGCAAGATCGCTGCGACACCTCACTCTCTATTCTCACGACAGACAAGATTGCCTCGGTGGTGGAGCAAGAGCTCATCGTCGCGAAATTGAATGATTTTCTTGCCATGGAGGGAAGCGGTATGAAGGTCATGATTGACAACGACCGCCACGAGGATCTTTCCATCCTCTACCAGCTCATCTGCAGGGTCGACAAGACCAAAAGCGCGTTGAAGGCGATCCTTCAAAGCCGGGTAATGGAGCTGGGCCTCGAAATTGAACAATCACTTAAAAACACGGACTTCTCTGTCGCTGTGCCCGGTGCCGAGACGGAGGATGCAGCCGAGGGCGAGGAAAAGACGAAAGCACAGCCCCTGAGTGCTGCAGCCCAGCAAACGGCAGCGGCAATCAGGTGGGTCGACGAAGTCTTGCGACTCAAGGATAAGTTTGACAACCTCTCAAAAGTCTGCTTTAGCGAGGATCTTGTCCTTCAGTCCGCCGTCACCAAGAGCTTTTCCGAGTTCATCAACATGTTCACCAGGAGTTCGGAATTCGTGTCCCTTTTTATCGACGACAGTCTCAAGCGGGGTCTGAAAGGCAAGGCGGGCGAGAATATAGAGGCTGTCCTGGAAAAGGCGATCGTTCTTATCCGGTACTTGGCGGATCGTGACCTATTCGAACGGTATCACCAGAAGCACCTTGCACGGAGGCTGCTCCACAACAAATCCGAGATGCATATCGAGAAGGAACTTGTCCGCAGGATGAGGGGCGAGTTGGGCAATCACTTTACTCTGAAGTTTGAGGGCATGTTCAAGGACATGGAGTTGTCAAAGGACCTGTTGGAAAACTACCGCGACCACGCCCGCACCGTTGGCGGCGCTGATACCAAAAAGACGGACCTCGGAATCCACGTGCTCACAACAAATAACTGGCCGCCAGAGGTCATGGGCCGCGGTGGTGCCCAGGAAGACGGCGCTAGGGGAGACTGCATCTTCCCCCCGGCCATCGAGCGCCTCCAGGAGAGCTTTTCCCATTACTATCTGAAGGACCGCAATGGCCGAGTGCTCACATGGATTGCTTCTGCCGGCACTGCCGACATCAAATGCGTGTTCCCTAAAGTACCTGGGAAGACCAGCGGCCCGCTCAGTAAGGACCGTCGCTACGAGCTTAGCGTCTCGACTTACGGTATGATCGTACTTGACCTTTTCAACGACATAGGCGACGACGGCCTATCTTTCGAGGACATCCAGGCGAAAACGAACATCCCCACGCAAGATCTCATACGCACGCTAGGCTCACTCTCTATCCCGCCTAGATCGAGGGTGCTTACCAAGGAGCCCATGTCCAAGAACGTCAAGACGACGGACAAGTTCGCATTCAACGCCCAGTTTGTCAGCAAGACGATCAAGATAAAGGCACCTGTCATCAGCAGCACATCCAAGGTAGAGGATAGCGACCAACGAAAAGAGACGGAGCGGAAGAACGACCAGACCAGAGCACACGTAGTAGACGCTGCGATTGTGCGCATCATGAAGTCAGTTTCCCCTTGTCCCCACTCTTTCTTGCTTCGTCTTTCTAAGCGCTAACACCTGTGTACCTTGTAGGCAACGCAAAGAGTTATCACACACGCAGCTCACCACCGAGGTCATTAGCCAACTGGCGGGACGGTTCAAGCCTGAGATCTCGATGATCAAAAAGCGGATTGAAGATCTATTGACGAGGGAGTACCTCGAACGGATCGATGGCGACGTTGCCGCATACCGGTACTTGGCGTGAGGCGGGTAATACTTGGCTTGGCTTGGGTCTTGCTGAAAAGAGCCAACAGGGCCCGGCTCTTTGGGTGTTCTATGGATCTTACGGTAGCATATGGCTGTCTGACTTATGGTGGCTACAGAATTGTATTGGGATGCTGTTATGACTCACAATGAATGCATGGGAGACGATTTAGGCGCAGGCTTTTGGGCAGGTCTGGGGTATTGTTGGAGTCAAGAGTGCATCGATGGGGGCGAGGCACGACGGAGCAAGTGGTGTTTTGGAGGTTGCTTTGAAAGTCCAGTCACATGATAACAACGACTGGGGATAGCAGCACTTGGGTGTTATATCCAGAACATATATACCAGCTTATATCTACTGGCCTGTGCCTTGTTCGGGAACTGGCTTTGAACGAAAGGCTGGGAGAGACGTGCTGTTCAAAAGAAAATAAAAGGAAACTGTTCAAGTTAAGTGAAGACAACTCTCGGCGTGATTCTCTCGGCGTGGTTATTTAATGAACTCTGGCTGAACAAATTCAGCCCGCCATGCCTCCTTCACAACACCGGCGGTCTCGTAAAGCGGCAACGAAAACAAGTCAATCCTGCCAAGCATGTGTATCAAGCTAATACGACACTTCGAATGCTCGATCATGGTCGAGCACACGCGCGAGTACCTCGCCAGGTGCAGCAACCCGACATACCTAATCGAGGACTTGGTGGGGAGCCTCCCGGGGCCGGGCGGCCTAGGACGCCGGCCTTGCCTAGACGAGGGAACTCTGGAGACACGGGAGGAATGGTACAAGCAGGCCTGCCCGGACTGCACGGGCGAGAACGAAGCCCCGAAGGAAGGCTGCTCCGGGGTCATCGAGCACAACATTCCCGGCCGCGGCGACGACCGCCGCTACGAGTACTTCAGCAACGCGCACCTCGTCCCCTACGACGACGCCGTGAACGTCTACGCCCACAACCTGGCCTACTGGCTCCTCGCCAACATATACTCGCCCGATCGGAGCCGTATCAGGAACAGCACGCTGTGGTCGGGACCCATGGGCACCTACAGCGATATCTCCGTGTGGCAGGAGCGGAACACCTATATCATGAACGAACTCCTCTGTCAGGTCGACCCCGGACACGGCTTTCTGTGCAGGTTAGCCGTGGACGAGAGTATCCCGGACGAGGAAAGTACAGAGTTTGGCCTTCAGCTACCCCACGAAGGCTGCCCTTGCCCGTCCACCCAGAAGCCGTGGCTGTGCAACTGGGCGCTGCACATCCGCCGAGAGGCCGCGAGAGATATTTATTTGCAGCTCATGGATATGAGCAACGGCATCCTTGACGAGGCCAACTATAAACTACAACAGGAGGTGATCAACCACTGTGGGAATATATCGAAGCTTACTGCTGCTAATGCTATTGCTGACAAGGGCCCATCCGCGCCGGAGGCGCTTCCCGTGCTCGAGATCCAACACCCGCTGGGGGATGCGCTCGTTGACCGTGGGTGGGTTTTGGGGTGGGATGCCGGAGTGATGGCTGAGCTTTTTGCGTGTCGTGTTCTTGATGAGGATGACGAGCCACTTGGTAGCGCACGCCACGTGAGTAGAGCCTCTCTCTTGCCGTGGGCGGTCTTCATCCTCATGCATGACTCGGGGCTGACCCTGCGGCGGGCACGAGAGATCCTCGCACTCTTCGCCTCCAAAGTCGTTCGCCACTACCCAGATTGGCGAGATTTCAGGCCGCAGCTCTTGACCGGGTACGATGCTTGCGAGCGCCTTGCCGCAGTAGCCAGCCTGCGGCCACTGTATATCCCTGACTGGGTGAACAAGACGCTCGGCCCACTGCTGAACATCACCGACTTCAACACGAAGACACGGATAAAGTACACACTTTGGCAGAAGCAGGACCGGGGCCGGGTAAACAGCGTGTGGGCCAACGTAGTCACAGCGACCGACGCACAGTTCCAGGCGTTGAGGGAGAGCGGAGACACGCGGTGTCCTATCTGTCTCGAGGAATTTGACGACCACGACTCGGCCCTACCAAAGAATCCCGTGCAGAACTGGCATTGTTATTGCCGCGGCAACAAGCACTGGATCAACATGACGTGTCTAACCAAGTTCGCGAGGACGCTGTACAACCTGGCGGATGAGGATGCCGCGCCCCCTCCTCGCTGTCCCATCTGCCGCACCACATTCGAAGATTCGGAGTCGGAATCAGACGAGACCGAATTCGACAGTGATGAGGTGTTTTAGAAGAGAGTGGCGGCGGCTTGGTATTAGACAAAAAGGTCTATTTAGAGAAGGCTGAGGACGGATATGGCCTCGATACAGTTTCTTCTCTTTATCATGGGAAGGGAAGGAAACATAATATATTATATTGGTAATAACATTGTAGGTAATACTCCAAGCTGTAAGCAGCACCGTCTTTGAACAATGTTTACCCCAAAACAATCACTACGACGGTACCACCTACGCAGAGCTCAACTCTTTTCACTGTGTGATTTATTTTACTTTCATAACAACTCAGATATAGTTCAACAAATGGAGTAACGTTTAACTTCATGCGAAGGTATATTCAATCCTGGCTTGCTAATCCATCCCCTATTCTTGTTGATAATATTGACAGTTGTATAACCCGTTGTGCCTGGAGGAACTCCAGGTTCCTTAGGTCAGAAATGCCATGGCCTGCTATCAGCACGAACCAGTTTTTACTCCATAAAAAACTCAAAAAACGGTGTCATTTCTAAGCTGTACTGTCGACTTCTCACTGTAGAATTTTGGCTTTTTTCTCCTTTTCGACTTCTCTCGATAGCATCTCGAAGTCTGGCGTCACCTGCATTCTGCTTCCTTGAATCAGCATCTCGCAGTTGGTCTTGGCGGTGGAGGTGCACGGACCGTTGCTGCTTTGTTCTGGCCAATCAAATCGCCGGAAAAAAGCCGCTTGCCCGCACTTTGGCATCAGGGCCCCTGTGACTCGCTGCTTCGCTCCTGCTTTTGCATGCCTCCGGCGCGCATTCCTTGACAATCACGAACAAGAAATTCGGATTTATGTCAAAAAGTGGCGAAAGATGAGGTTTGCAGGGTCAACATTGATTATGGGTTGACTATACTACTAGAGCGATGCACCCGCTTCTTCGTCAGCAGCTTCAGTCTGCGCTGATTCGGCCATGACGTCCCATTCCTGGAACCACGACTACAGAGAACAACGTCAACATTGCCAAGATTGCCTGGCTCAGCAGGAAGGATACAAGCAAGGCCTACGGCTCGATGGTCGTCTCCGTGACGAAGGGTAGCGAAGCAAATTGCTTCTTTGACGCACAAAATACACGGAACCTATCAGCTCTGTGAGATTACGCCACAGAGGTTAATCTTTACGGGATCTGATTACTGAAGCCCCTAGATGACGATATAGCTTACTAGAGACTCAAGAATGCGGCGTCATACATCGGCGATGAGGTCAAACCGGTGCTAGAGGCCACCTTTTTTTACACCGCGGTGCTCCATTTTCCCAATCCAAGGAACTCAATACGTTCTTTCCATCCCGATTTTCTGACCTAAACTAGAATCATCTCCTGATACTGTTTATAATTCCATTGCAGTCAAGATGGCTTCTTCTTCCGCCTTTAACAATTACATCGTTGACTCCGCTATGGGGCCTACCTGCAGCCGGCAAGTTCCTCCAGGCTTCCTTTGGCGTGCCCGCGCGCAGCGGGCACGGTCACTCCTGTAAGGGGTTACAATTCCCCACCCTGCGGGCGGGTATCTCCTTTCTAAGTAGCATTTCTACTCTAAATATAGTATCACAACTTGCAGCGTCAGTGGTTTAGTGGTAAAATCCATCGTTGCCATCGATGGGCCCCGCGTTCGATTCGCGGCTGACGCATTTCCTTTTGCCCTTTGTCTCATTACACCAGGCAGAGTTAGTCCTTTTGGTCCCGAGGTCAATGTCTTTGCATTTGTCTTTTTCTTACTTTTACCGGGCTAAAGACCTACAATTGGTAGCTAGATCAAAATGTTTACGGGTACTCTCTGTTATTCTTGGGGGGCCATTGTCGTTAACACCGGAGTAGTGTCAATGTCTCAACGTTTAAAACTCATAGAAGAAAGCAAAGCAAGATTTCAAAGCAATTCAATCGATTCCATAGCTGTGGGCCTACGCCATCCACAATGCCACACTCCGTACCGCCATTACATGGCGCTTTTTAGGTGGGGAACCTCAATCTCAACAGGCCACAACCCGCGCGGTCGTTGAGAACTCGAGTCTCCTTTCGGTTCCATGTCCATTATCTTGAGAACCGGGGTGGTGGTCTGGCCTTTTGCCATGCACGAGAAAAGCACTTTTCCCGTTAAGAAAACCCCCATTCAAGGCCTAGAAGGTTCGGTTGAGAATAGTACCTGCCCACATATTGCCATTCATTGGCTTGCCGCGCGACGTCTATTCAGTTTGGGGCGCTGTGGCTTACCGTGGAGAGAGGGCGCGAACCGCACGCGAGGAGCGCGGGGGAAATAAGCAGTAGTATTAACATAAAATATCAATAAACACGGCTCTTTTGTGGGCGTGGTGCTCTACCTAGGGCCCAAACCTGGCCGGCGGTATCTTGGAAGTACACTCTTCCCAGTTCACTACATGTATTCGATGAGGAATAACCACACTTTCACCAGATGATTATAATCAGCTAAGAGCGGCTTAGATAGAAAGCGAGGGAATGATGATACCAATTTTAACACATATCCAGGTAAATCTAAAACTGTCAAGTAGATCTGATAGTCAAGGGGAACTGCCGTCTTAATACACATATTACCTCTTGTCCTGTGGTAACTGTCCACCTGATCACCGGTTAATCTCGACACTTTTTCTATTTCAGCACACCTTACGACGCGTCCCCTCGCATGTCACAATTACGTCTGGAATGGTTCATGTGGAACTGGTTTCAATTTCAAAGATGGAACCCCGGCGCGGCTCCCTGGTCGCTTCCGATGCTCCGACCCCGGTTATCCCGAGCCATTGAAGCAATGAAACGTTGGTGTTTCCCTCACCCAAAGACTCCCAAGCACCTGGTACATGTGGCTATCTGCTCCCGGTTCCAAGCGCGCAAACTAGATGTCGATTCGGCCCAGACCCGCAATCACGCCACCATTCCCTGGAATGGAAGATCATCCTCGTCGACGTACGGGACGTCGGAGTCGTCGGAGTCCCACTCGTCGCTTGCGGGCTTCCTGAGACGAGTAAATTGTGTTAGTGGCGCGTTCGATCTCTCTCAAAGGCTTGAGCAATCCGTTGGGACCGACAGCAACACTTAGGACGGCACGTACCAGTAGTTGTGGCAAAGGGCATCGGTCAGCTCGTACATGTTGGCGATGAGCATTGCCGGCACGGCCGCGAAACCCTTGGTCGCGAGATGGTCGGAGTCGTCTGGGTTCTGGCGGGTGGAGAGGCGGTCCTCGGCCAGAGCATTCACCATGAACAACTCGTAGTGCTGTCTGGTGCTCCCTGTAAAGACAAGTCAGCGAACTGCAAAGTATGGGAAGGAAGTCTACGGATACTTACAGCCTGTCTTGTTGGGCCTGGGCCCGGTGACGCCGCGCTCGAGCTCTGAGACGCGCAGGCTGATCCAATGCTCGAAATCGGCGGCATTGGCGACGAAGAAGTCCTTGATGTAATTGTTGCCGGGGGGGTTCCTCTGGCCGGCGTTCTCAAAAGGACGAAGGTAGTCCTCCATCAACTCCGTGTAGGAGTCTGAAGCCACCGCGTGGACCCAACCTTGAACCGCAGTCCAGCTGTTGAACCCGATGAGGTGGCAGAGGCTCTCGCGGTCGAGGACCATGGTGACAATTGTTTTTTATTAAAAACAAAAAGGAAAAGAGCAGTGAGGGACAAAGGGTGATGCTTCGCGATGGGGGGCAAAGCGAGGCTGGGAGTGCTTGGGATTTTTGATGAAACGTTTTTGTGGGCTGGAGAAGAAAGGAAAAGAATTGAGGAACTGGGAAAAGAAATGAAGTTAATATAGTCCAGTCCTGTATAAAGCTGAGACCGCATAACGCCAGTGCACTGCGGCTTGTGGCTATTCAAGCCTCGTTATCTAGCCGCCATTGGGATTTCTTGGAGTTTGTGATGGCAGCCGCCTTCTGTGATAAAAGCCGCACTCCTGAGGCTCACCCGCTGAAACCATGACAGCGAGATGGCTTTGGGCGAGCCCTAAGCTTGGAGTCTCTTTACTACCTCTGGCGTTTGGCTGTGACCAGTGTCACAGCTATCTTTTTAGGAGTTAGACCTGTGATGAATCAAGAGGACGAGGGGTTTGCGTGACGAAAGATATCACAAAGAATCACTTCACAACCACGACACGCCAATGTGAGGACAAGATCAGCACAAGGCCATAACGTATGACATTGTGGTTCAAATGTCATACCATGTAGGAGTCATCTGATTGTTTGACTTGGGCCACTTGCGATGGCATTGCAGTGACAAAGGGTAGGTACCTGCTTCACTTTGGACGATGGCTTCAGTAAACACTTGGATACCAGACAATTTATTGGGACTCTCCTTTTAGCTGGATTCCCGGTCATCATAATCCTTACCGTTGGCAACCCTAACACTTATATCCAGAGTTCCCAAACTTGACACAGAGCCTAGTTTACTTGGTCATACACAGCCGCAGTCAATGTACTCAGAGAAGTTAATGATGACTACCAATTATGCAAGGCCTTAAATACTCTGCTTTTCGTGAACCCAGTGTTGGCCGTGGCGAGTGCCAGCCAGGTCAAAAATAGGGCTCATGAAACCCCAGATATACCATTTCATGATTTCTACAGTCAACCAACTCCCTGGTATTGGCGGCCAATATAAACTCCCATTTCTGGCTCGGCGAGGGAATTTCAATTCCAAGATGCCTTGGGGCACGAACCTTTCACAGCTGTAAGAGAACGGTAACTCTTGGAGAGTGATATGCCACAGTAAGTTGTGCTCTCGAACTGGTAACGGATGCTGTTGTGTCCCTGTGCGTTCCCAAGCGCCACACGAGGGCAATCACAGCTTCAAGAGATAAGGTAATTGGACCAGCGGATCAGAGGATTTATGAAAATGGAAACGAGGAGGGGAATCACGTCTGGTCGAGGAACATCTCGGATGGGTCGGGACATCAAACTATGGCACAAAGAGACTGTTCGGCCTCAAAGCTCTTTGTGATGGATATATCGAGACACTATTGTGCATACCTTAATTAACTTGAATCTCCTAATAATTAACCTGGATCTCCTAATAACTCCCGAGTTCCCTGGTGCCAATCCGTGACAAGTCCCTCCCCGCCTATATAGGGTTACAAGATGAACTACAGTACCATGTATTGAAACAAGGCGATTATGAACGGAAACACGTTTAAAGTTTCTGCGTTGGTACATAAGGGGGGGAGGGGCTTAAGACTTGGCTCTCGAGCCTTCGGTTGGCTCAGGGGCCCGTGGAGAAAACGGCCCATGGAGCCGTCTTTTCGGCTTGTCCGGATGAAAAGAATACCAACGGCCAAGCGCATGTATTTTGAACCCAAAAGAGAAACAGGGACTCTAAGTACTGGCTCTTTCCCAGACCTAGGGGAAGGTTTGCATAACAGTAACAAAGAATCGGGGGAGTATTGTTCGGTATATCGGCCCCCCACGACCGGTCCCCCACCTTAAAATGAAGTGAGATCAAACCTGCCGCAAACTGCAAGGCCTTACGTAGCATATCGGCCTGGTGTTAGATCCACAGCCTTTAGCAATCCGGTAGAGAACTCGGAGGCCGAAGGAAACTGCAGGTCCATAAAAACTAAAGGGGAAAACGCTGTCTCAGGCCATACACCTAGGAGGTTGGGTAAAAGGCTTGTCGACCAGAAGGTCGAGCCCACCAGGAATATGATAATGATAACCCATCCGGCGCTGCTCTGCGTCGAAACACGGTGCTGAAACATGCAGCTGCACCAAGGGTAGAGCAGAGGAGCCAAGCCACATACCGGAAGTCGCCTGGCGCGATAGACGACCGGGACACGTTGCCAAGTCGACGACGGCATCAGGTCGCTGTAGGATTCCCTAAAATAGCATCTCGCCCAGAAGACTCTACGGTCATCCGGGTCATGCGGCCAGTGCCACCAGCTGCACCTCATTCGTCAAGTCTGAGGAGGCGGCCAGGGTACCGATCGTTAAGAGCGGCTGCCATGGACGTGAACAAGAGGGCGAGGACCACACCAGTGACACCACTGCTCAACCATCTGACTCGACCAAGCGCTGGTCTCAGTAATCTGCCGAGTCAACTCCTGACCAAACATCTTAGTCACTAGAAATGGCTAGTTGTGATAGTTGGAGAGTTTTCTCGACAATGAGAACGGCCGAGTCCTGGTGCAAGCAGTTCCTCGGCATGCCGTGCTGGAAGAGAGACGACACCACCGCCGTCGCCCTCAGCGTCGACAAGCGCGCGGCCGAGCCCTGGTGCACCCAGTTCCTGGGCCAGCCGTGCTGGAAGCGCAACGGCGACGACACCAGCGCCGTGGAGAAGCGCGAAGCCGAGGCAGCAGCCGAGCCCGACCGGTTCTGCACGCGGTTCACAGGCTCCTCATGCTGGAAGCGTGACGGCGGCGCCGTGGCGGCCGAGGAGGTCAAGCGCTGCTCAAGCGAAGGCCAGGCGTGCTGGAAGGCCAAGCGCGCCGCGGCGGCCGTCACCAATGCCATCGACGAGGGCAACGCCCAGAAGATGGCCCGCGACGCCGACCCGGGTTGGTGCAGGCAGTTCCTCGGCATGCCGTGCTAGAAGCGCGCTGCTACCTGCAACGGCCCCGCCGGTATCTGCACCAAGGCCACCCGCGACCTGCACGCCATGTACAACGCGGCCCGAACCATCATCGAAGCTTAGGTGAGCGGGATTTCTTCTTTTTCTTTTGTAACTTCTCTTTCCTTTGCTTGCACAGTTTACTAATACCGGCTTGAAAGGCGTTCTCCTTATCTTCTACTATTTCTCTCTCTCTATCTCTCGGGTCAGCTCTGGTCCAGGAAGAAAGCAAAAGGGGAGGAAAAAAAAAGGAACAGGAGCGTCATGCTCAGCCACTTCTCTTCGCTGGTATATAGTTGGAAACGTAGACGGCAGCAACACCATCCCGCCCAAAACACCATTTTCTCTTACTGTGGGCTTAGTCCCATTCACTGCTGGCTTTGTCGAGCCGGCCTTATGGAATATAGCGCTACACCAAGGGTAGTCGCATTTGTATCATTAGTCCAGGTAGGAAAATATACCAGGACCGGCGGGTGGTCTGTCATTTCTATTTACTCATTAGTAGCTATTCAATTGGATTGGATTCCCTTCCATCACAACGATCGGTATGTATTTGTCCCTGACATGTGTTACTCACCTCCGTGTTCCAAATCCCAAACCGTGCCGGCCATGAATCTGTTTTCCTCGAGTCGTAACAGAGGATGACCTGTAGGTTTGTTTGGCCAGCGTTACAACGGCGCCTCAAACGATATCACGTTGCATGTAGCGTGGCACGAAAAATTGAATACGCCTCGCTCAGCTGCTGGTAAAGTTATCAACATGGCCACCAGCTGGTAAAACCCCCCTGTCTCACACCCACCACTCAAACAAACACCGCCACCTCACATCAACAAGCGCCACGCACCCAACAACAGTGCCGCAAACCCAGTACACACCCCCATCAGCCACTGCAGGGTCTGAAACTTGACCTGCTCGAGCTGCTGGCGCAGGGCGGCGGCCTCCTGCTCGATTTTGGTTTCCGTCTCCTTGATCTTGAGCTCCTGGGAGACGGCCTCCTCGCGGATGCGGCCCTTCTCGAGGTTGAGGTCGAGGCGCACGCTGGCCTGGGTGCGCCCGATCTCGTCGCGCAGCCGGCTGTTGAGCTTGGTGATGTCGTTGGTCAGCTTCTCGTGCGCCGCCCGCGTCGCGTTCGACTCGGTGCTGTCCGCCGACAGCAGCTCGCTGCGCAGCTTGGCGAAGTCCACTTTTTGCGTGTACGTCGTCTTGGCGGCTTCTTCGCGGGGTACCATGGTGCGCGTGAGGTTTTGGATGCTGTGTTGGTGGTAAATCGAGAGGGGGTTAATTGGTGTAAATGGAGGGGTAAGGGGGCGCGGGGTGGGGGAAGGTGGTGTACCTCTCCTCGATAACGTCGTTTAGCACCTTCATCATGGCGACTGATTGCTCTTCCGTGAAGCCTTCTTCCTGTAGACGCTGTACAAAGCGGAGGGTATCGAAGTGATGGTCGCGTCTGCGCGGTGCAGAGGCGTGGAAGGACCGCCGAAGCACGGGGTTGTGGAGGATGCCATACGGATTCCTAGTCGGTTGGGCGTTTCCACATATCCTCAAAATAGTCGTTGTGTTGGTTGAATGAAGAGACCTCCTCTGTGTGGCCTGCCATCCTGTCCCTTTGGCCGTGTTTCTTGTGTGCTGAAAGGCGACTGCGGGTGTCCCCTGTATGCTCGTGGTTGTCAAGAGAGGACTGGTCCAGCTCAGTCGTGGGAGCAGGAAGCGCGGGACTGATTGCGTCGCATTCATATTGGGCTATACTCTTCAATCCGTTATGAGCCTTTCGAAAGGATTAGACGAATGTCAAAAAGAAAAGGAGATCCTTAAACTTGAATATCCCGCGAATTGGTCGACGTTGGACACTGGCACAGCGGCTCGGCTGCCTGCGGCTTGCTTGATTGGCAGCATGAGCCGAACCGCCGAGCTGGACAAGCATGCGCCACAGCCAAAGCTGTGATTTCAGCACCAGCCACAGATAACGGTACCCCACTAGCCACGCCCCACTCTGCTCTCCTTCAAAACCACCGAAAATTTTGCCCAATTCCGATTCCTTCTTTTTTTTTTCTTCATGAACAACGCAAATTTTAACATTCTCGGAACTAGCTTCAATGCGATTTACGAGGCCCCCGGCTGCTTCACGGCGGTCGGCTGTGGCCCAGGACGCAAGTCGTAGGTTTTCGAACAGAATGGAGAGGGACGGAGTTTTGCTTCGGCGCTCGATCTTGGGTGCGGTTCTTCCCTTTTTCTGCCGTGGGAAAGGCCGCAATGATTGGACGTACATACATACTTTCTTTGATAGTAGTACCCTGTTGAGTCGCTGGCTGCCTTGTTGCTACTGGCAGTCCAGTCTGAATTGGTTTATGCGTCGTGTGCGTGAGCGTGTGTGTGCCTTGCACCCTAGGTGCGCGGTGTACCTAGCGATATCAATGCTTGTTTCACCGTCGTCACCGAGAATCGCATCTAGCCATATCGTGGCATTTGTTTGCTGTGTTCTCTATTACCAATGCCTCGCGAGCTGGTTCATTTGAGTAAAAGAATCCCCCCCCCAAAAAAAACATGGACGATGAAGCCAAGACCAAAAAGGCAACGGAAAGTAGCACAAACTTGTCGAAGGAGCAGAGCATAAGGTCATGGCACACGTTGGGCAGAAATACAGTCTATTAGTTTGTGTCGCCTACTTCTTCTCCTTGGCCTTCAGCTTCGTCTTCTCCTTGGGCTTGCCCTTGGTTTTTTCCTTGACTTTGTCGTTAGACTTCTCCTTGGGTCCCTCCTTGGGTGCCTCTTTGGATGCCTCCTTAGGCGTCTCTACCTCCTTGGCCGGCTTCTTCTCTTGTCCCTTCTTCAACGCCCGAGGATCAAGACCACGCCTCCTCATCGCGTTCCGCTTGGCACGCTCAATGTAGTCCTCGTCCTCATTGTCGTCGAACCCGCCAAAGTCGTCCTTGGCTTCTTCCTCGCCCTCCGCAGCGACAGGTGTCTTATCGATAACCTCGCCGTCATTCTCATCCGCGGCCTTCATGATGGCGGCATCCTTATCCTTCTTGCCATTGGCGAGGACGGCGTTCCCAGCCGTGGGTCCAACCTTCTGGAATTTGGCGACGAAGAACCCGTCAACGTTGTACAAGTGGGGGTAATACCGGCGTGTCAGCTTGAGGCTGGGGTGGAACGCCTTGCCCATATAGCTGGTGAAGCCCTCCTTGCCGAAGGGGAGGCCGGTCTAATACTGGCGTTAGCGCATTCCCAGTTACCAGGCTAAGGTGGGTATGGACTTACCTCGACGAGCTTGACGTTAGGCCGGCGACTCAAGGCATACGCGACAACTTGTTCGCTAAAACTGGGTCAGCATTTATTTCGTCTGGCGTGTTGAGCTCCATCGGACTCACTTTTCCTCGATTGCCACGCTGCATGTAGAGTAGACAACGTAACCACCCGTCTTGCTTGCATGGTTGACCGAATCAATAGCTGCCAACAACAGCTGCTTTTGCGTATGCGGTAATTGAATGAAGTCCTTCTCGTCCCTGTTGGTCTTCACTGAGGGGTCCTTGGCGATAACGCCAGTGCCTACACGACGAGTCAGCGTTGCAATCCAAGCCCTATATGCCTTTTCACTCACCAGAGCAAGGCGCATCCAAGAGTACTCTGTCGAAACCACCCATCACCCTGGGGAACTCGCGGGCATCGTAGTTGCAGACGATGACGTTCTACGCCGCAACGTTAGCCAGACACCAAATAGTTTAACAGGCAACCATTCTTACCCTCGCACCCAGACGGTGAATATTGCCGATCAGACCCTTGGCACGAGACTTGCTGGGATCGTTCGCAAAAACGACGCCAGTGTTCTTCATCAACGCCGACATATGCGTTGTTTTACCACCGGGGGCTGCGGCCATCTGTTCGTTTTCTTTTAGTAAGCAATCCATCGTCATAGATGCGGAAACAGAACGACTTACATCGAGGCAACGTTCGTTCTCCTGAGGGCAGAGAGCCATGACGGGGAGGAACGAAGATGCAGCTTGCAGAATGTAATGGCCAGCCAGATACTCGGGAGTGGCACCCAATGGCACGCTTTATCTCGGTCAGTTTCTCGAGCACGGAGAGAGAATGGTAATACTTACGTCGACTCGAATACCTGCAGGCCGACTTTGGACCACTTGCCCACGGGCTCCAAAGTGACGCCGCGGTTGACTATGAAGGGTTAGCGCGAGGGGCGGTTGCGTACGGAAAAGGAGTATAACTAACTGAGAGCCTGCGCTAGATCACGGCGATGCGTCCGTAGGGTATTTGTTCGAATAACGACAGGGCGCGCGCTCTGTTCCCCAGTTAGTTAGGTGATAGAAACATAATTTAAGTCACTGGACGTACCTCGTTGGCTTCAAAGAAAGCAAATGCTTCCCTTGGCGGGAACAGGTTCCTATGTACGTTAGTTATGAGACAGGTGGCCCTAGAAAGCGCCTCTTACATGAGTTTCTCTGCCAAAAACTCATTGTAGCCATAGTCTATTCATCCAGTGTCAGTAAAATCTCCGAAAATCGGGTCGAATAGGGGAACAGCGTGGCACGTACAGGCACAGACATCCTTGAGCAACTGGTTGGTATACTCGGCCCTGCTCCGTCCATCCTCGGCGAGATTCGAAAAGTCCTCCAACACGCGGATGGTCTCTGTTATCCTGGTCCTCAGCATCTGAAGGTCGGGAGCTAGCAGCCCTTGCGTTTTAGATGACAGCTCGTCCTCATCATCGTCATCCTCGCCCAAGACATTAGGCTTGTCGCCGTCAATGTTGGTCTGCAAAGCTTCTTCCCGCAGTTCCGCTTCGTTCTCCTCCGCTTCCCTGGCTAGCTTGTCGTCTAGCTTCTTTGACAGCCCCTCGATGTTGGCGGCGGTCAACCTCTCCTCCCGCTCCTCATCGTCGTCGTCCTCGTCGTCGGAAAAAACGAATTTCTCTTTCTTGCCGTTGCCTTGGTCCGAGTCGTAGACTGAGTCGTCGGATCCCAAGAAATCGTCGCCGAGCGTCTGCTCGTCCAAATCAGATCCACCGTCAACCTCCAATTCGGAAGCATCAAACTCGTCACCCATCTCCTCGTCTGAGTCGGATTCTGGTACAGAAGCCTTCTTGGACTTCGCTTTGTTAGCCTTCAGGCCATTCTCTGACGACCCAGATGACTTCTTGGTGCCATTGGTTTGTTTCCCTGCCGTCTTCGTCGCGATTACACCATTCTTAGTGCTCTCCCCACGGGGCTTCTTGGAAGACTTCTCGGACTTCGTCGATGTACGGCGCTTCTTGGTTGAGCGCACCTCGGCCGGCGTATCGTCAACCGGAAGACCCTTCTTCCGCTTAAGATTGGCAAAGTGTTCTTCTGACAGCGGCTCAGGCGCGCCCTGTTTCTTCATACGGCGTCCGACGCCCATATTTGCGAGTTTGGCGGCGGGTTCCCTGCTTTTTTTTTTATCGCAGATGTTTGGCAGCGGGACGACACTCGCAGACAATGGCTGCAACCCGCCAGAATCTTGCCAAATTTCTTGCGAAAAACGTTATCGATAAGAGCGGGAGCGTTGCTCTGCACCAAGAAGTCGAGTGGGGCCAGTCCAGCCTCAGACTAACTAAGCCAAAAGCAGGAGGAACCTTGTTGCTGACGTTACCCCTGGCAAGCCTGGCAAGAGCGTGAGAACCTGGCAAAGGATGGAATGCTTCCCGCACTGCAGCTCCTTGCTCTTAACAGATCACTCGGAAAGTACCCGCATTTGGCGCTCCTGCCACACACAAGCACAAGCGAGAACCCTCATTTTCCGCAACTGCGCTGCGCGTCTGGCAACGAGCTTTCACCCTCGCACCGCACCTACCCAACAACCCAACTTTTTCTCTTTGCTTGATTCTCTTTTCAATTAAGTGGCTTTGGTTGCGGGTATTGCTAATAATTACCAGCTCCGCCCACTTTTTGTCTATTGCCCCATCGAGCTCCACCGATTTCCACCCCTTTCACGAACGTCACGATTCCCAACTTCACGACCTTCATCTGCCTGGCAGCCACTTTTGACAAGTTGGCTGTTACTCTTCGTTAACCCCGCGCAGCCGAGCGCATCGAATTCATCATGGCGCCGGCCTTGCCAATTAAGTTCCAGGAGCTGCTTCAGCTCAGCAGCTTGGGCGTTAACCAAACCGCCATCACTTTCAACACATGCGTACGATCCCATCCCGCACACCATAACACGTTTTCTGTGTCGCCCTAACCCTACTGACCTTCGATGCCCCTGGGATAGACTCTAGAATCAGACTCCTTCATCTGCCTTCGAGATAAAAAGGATGAAGCCTCATCCCCCGAAGTCCTCATCGTCGACCTCAAGAATGGCAACAATGTCATCCGGCGCCCCATCAAAGCCGACAGTGCAATCATGCACTGGTCGCGACAAGTCATTGCCCTGAAGGCACAGTCCAGGACACTCCAGATCTTCGACTTGGAGCAAAAGCAGAAGCTAAAGTCCACCACTATGAGTGAGGATGTTGCCTTCTGGAAGTGGACGAGCGAGACGACACTGGGCTTGATCACAGACACTGCCGTCTACCATTGGGACGTCTTCGACCCCGCCCAGGCAGCGCCCGTCAAAGTGTTCGACCGCAATACCAACCTGCAGGTGGGTACCTCTTATCTTGTTCGCTGAACTCGCCGGGTGGACGCTGACAGCAAGCAGAGCAACCAGATTATCAACTACCGGACGAGCGCCGATGGGAAGTGGATGGTCGTGGTCGGTATCTCGCAGCAGCAAGGACGCGTCGTCGGTGCCATGCAACTCTATTCCAAAGACCGCGGAATCAGCCAGGCCATCGAGGGCCATGCCGCTGCCTTTGGTACGATCCGGTTAGACGGTGCCCCCGAGGACACTAAGCTCTTCACCTTTGCCGTCCGGACCGCCGCCGGCGCCAAACTACACATTGTCGAGGTCGACCACCCTGAGACGAACCCCGTATTTTCCAAGAAGGCCGTCGATGTTTTCTTCCCGCCAGAAGCCGCCAACGATTTCCCGGTTGCCCTCCAGGTTTCGCAGAAGTACGGCATCATTTATCTCATCACCAAGTACGGTTTCATCCACCTCTACGATCTCGAGACTGCGACATGCATCTTCATGAACCGTATCTCGGGCGAGACCATTTTCACAGCCTGCGGCGACAAGGAGTCAAGTGGTGTTATTGGCATCAACCGGAAGGGTCAAGTTCTGTTTGTTAGCGCCGACGAGAACACGATCGTCCAGTATGTTCTTGAGAGCCACGGCACCGAGCTGGCACTCAAGCTGGCGTCCCGCGCTGGGCTCCCCGGTGCCGACAACCTCTACCAGCAGCGTTTCGAGCAGCTCTTCACCAATGCCAACTACCAAGAAGCGGCCAAGGTCGCAGCCAACTCTCCTCGCGGCTTTTTGCGGACGCCGCAAACCATAGAACGGTTCAAGCGGATCCCCCAGCAGCCCGGCCAAATGTCACATATTCTTCAATACTTCGGCTTGCTTCTCGACAAGGGGTCGTTGAATCAGCACGAAACTATTGAACTTGCTCAACCCGTGCTGGCCCAGAGCCGGAAACAGCTCCTCCAAAAGTGGCTCGGCGAGAACAAGCTCGAGTGCTCTGAGCAGCTTGGTGACATGGTTCGCCCTCACGACATGGCCATGGCCCTCGGCATTTACTTGAAGGCAAATGTGCCTCACAAAGTCGTTGCTGGCTTCGCCGAGACCGGCCAATTTGAGAAGATCCTCCCGTACTGCGCTCAGACGAGCTATCAGCCCGACTTTGTTCAGCTCCTTCAACACATCATCCGCATTAACCCGGAGAAGGGCGCCGAGTTTGCCACGTCTCTCGCCAACCATGAGGGAGGGTCACTGGTCGATTTCGAGCGTGTGGTGGATATCTTTCAGTCTCAAGGCATGGTCCAGCAGGCCACCGCCTTCCTCCTCGATGCGCTCAAGGATAATAAGCCGGAGCAAGGCCAACTCCAAACCCGTCTTCTCGAGATGAACCTAATCAACGCACCGCAGGTCGCTGATGCCATCCTTGGAAATGACATGTTTTCTCACTTCGACAAGGGTCGTATTGCGACTCTTTGCGAACAGGCTGGCCTCTTGCAGAAGGCTCTGGATCTATACGAGGATCCCGCCGCTGTTAAGCGTGTCGTTGTCGGCATCGCTGGCGCGCCGAACTTCAACCCTGATTGGTTGATTGAGTACTTTGGCCGTCTTTCAGTCGAGCAGTCTATCGATTGTCTTGACGCCATGATGAAGCACAACATCCGCCAGAATCTCCAGTCTGTGGTCCAAATTGCCACCAAGTATGCTGAGCTCCTCGGTGCCCAGCGCCTGATTGACCTATTCGAGAAGTACAAGACCGCCGAGGGCCTCTACTACTTCCTGGGGAGCATTGTTAACGTCAGCGATGACGCCGAGGTCGTCTTTAAGTATATCGAGGCGGCCACCAAGATGGGCCAGATCCGCGAGGTCGAGCGTATCTGCCGTGACAACAGCGTTTACAACCCGGAGAAGGTCAAGAACTTTCTCAAAGAGGCGAAGCTTAGCGAGATGCTGCCATTGATGGTTGTCTGCGACCGGTTCAACTTTGTCCACGACTTGGTGCTCTACTTGTACCAGCACCAACAGTTCAAGTCCATCGAGATCTACGTACAGCAGGTCAACCCTTCCCGGACCCCTGGTGTCATCGGTGGCCTGTTAGACGTTGACTGCGATGAGAGCATCATCAAGAATCTCCTCTCCACCGTCAACCCGGTATCGATCCCCATTGACGAGTTGGTCCAAGAAGTTGAGACGCGTAACCGCCTCAAGCTACTCCTGCCCTTCCTTGAGGCGACCTTGGCCGCCGGCAACCAGCAACAAGCCGTTTACAACGCTCTAGCGAAGATCTACATTGACTCGAACAACAATCCCGAGAAGTTCCTGAAGGAGAACGACCAGTATGACACGCTCACAGTCGGTAAATACTGCGAAAAGCGAGACCCCAACCTCGCTTACATCGCCTACCGCAAGGGTCAGAATGACCTCGAACTTGTCAATATTACGAATGAGAACGCCATGTACAAGGCCCAGGCGAGATATCTCCTCGAACGCGGAGACAGGGAGCTGTGGATGTTTGTACTCAGCGAGAACAACCTTCACCGTCGCTCAGTGGTTGACCAAGTCATCTCGACTGCTGTCCCAGAGTCTACGGACCCCTCCAAGGTCTCCGAGGCTGTGTCGTGCTTCCTGAATGCCGATCTCCCTGCGGAGCTTATTGAGCTCCTTGAGAAAATTGTTTTGGAGCCCTCGCCGTTCAGCGACAACCAGAACCTGCAAAACCTTCTCATGTTCACCGCTGCTAAGGCTGACAAGGCCCGTGTCATGGACTACATTCACAAACTCGATAACTTCTCTGCCGACGAGATCGCTAACGTCTGTATCGAAGTCGGCCTGCACGAGGAGGCCTTCGAAGTGTACAAGAAGATCGACAACAAGGAAGCCGCCGTCAACGTTCTCGTCGAGCACGTCGTTAGCATCGATCGTGCGCAAGCATATGCCGAAGAGGTCGACATTCCTCAAGTCTGGAGCAAGGTGGCCAAGGCTCAGCTGGATGGGCTCCGGGTCAGCGATTCTATTGACTCATACATTAAGGCCGAGGACCCTAAGAACTACGAGGAGGTCATTGAGATTGCGGTTGCGGCAGGCAAGAACGAGGAACTCGTCAAGTTCCTTCGCATGGCCCGCAAGACTCTCCGCGAGCCTGCCATTGATACCGCCCTTGCCTTCTGCTTCGCCCGTCTCGACCAGCTTGCTGACCTTGAAGACTTTTTGCGGGCAACCAACGTGGCCAACATCGAGGAATCGGGAGACAAGGCTTACGCCGAAGGTCTCTTCGAGGCGGCCAAGATCTTCTACACAAGCATCTCCAACTGGGCTAAGCTCGCGACTACCCTCGTTCATCTCACCGACTACCAGGCCGCGGTCGACTGCGCGCGCAAGGCGAACAACATCAAGGTCTGGAAGGAGGTCCATGAGGCATGCGTTGGCAAGAAGGAGTTCCGCCTTGCCCAAATCTGCGGTCTCAACCTCATCGTCGATGCCGAGCAACTCCAGGCTCTCGTCAAGCAGTATGAACGCAATGGCTACTTTGACGAACTCATTAGCCTCCTCGAGCAAGGCCTTGGTCTTGAGCGTGCCCACATGGGCATGTTCACCGAGCTGGGTATTGCTCTGTCCAAGTATCATCCCGAGCGGTTGATGGAGCACCTGAAGCTCTTCTGGAGCAGGATGAACATGCCCAAGATGATTCGTGCGTGCGAGGAGGCCAACTTGTGGCCTGAACTGGTGTTTTGCTACTATCACTATGACGAGTTTGACAATGCTGCGCTCGCCGTCATGGAGCGCCCCGAGAACTCGTGGGAGCACCAACAGTTCAAGGAAATCACCGTCAAGGTGGCCAATCTCGAGATGTACTACAAGGCCATCAACTTCTACCTTGAGCAGCACCCATCTCTACTCACCGATCTCCTCCAGGTCCTGACTCCCCGGATCGATGTGAACCGGGTGGTTCGCATGTTCCAAAAGTCAGACAACCTGCCGCTCATCAAGCCGTTCCTTCTCAATGTGCAGTCGCAAAACAAGCGCACGGTCAACGACGCCATCAACGACTTGCTCATCGAGGAGGAAGATTATAAGACCCTCCGGGACTCTGTTGAACACTATGACAACTACGATGCTGTAGACCTCGCTGGCCGTCTCGAGAAGCACGACCTGGTTTTCTTCCGCCAAATCGCTGCCAGCATCTACCGCAAGAACAAGCGGTGGGAGAAGTCTATTAACCTGTCCAAGCAAGACAAGCTGTGGAAGGATGCCATTGAGACCGCCGCCATTTCAGGCAAGGCAGATGTCGTTGAGGAGTTGCTGAGATACGTAAGTTTAACGCTACCCTTGATTTGGCTCATTGCTGATGATATTCCAGTTCGTGGACGTTGGCAACCGTGAGTGCTACGTCGGCATGCTGTATGCTTGCTATGACCTGATCCGGCCCGACGTGGTCCTTGAGCTGTCATGGCGCAACGGCCTGATCGACCATGCCATGCCCTTCTTGGTGAACATGCTCTGCGAGCAGACCAAGCAAATGGCCGAGCTCAAGGCGGACAACGAGGCCCGCAAGTCCCGCGAGAAGGAGCAGGAGAAGGTCGACGACAACACCCCCATCCTCGGCGGCAACCGCCTCATGATCACAGCCGGCCCCGCCGGCGGCGCACCGCCCGTGTCGCCTGCGCCGTACATGCAGACCAACGGCTTTGCGCCCCAGCCGACCGGCTACGGTTTCTAGAGGGTTGTTCCGGTGGTGTTCGAGTGCCCCTGCCTGTTCGATCCGGGCCAGCGTCGCTGGTTCTATCCATTCGAGGGTCCTGCTCAGTGAGGCAAGCCGGTCAAGGTGGTGGAGCTTGGGCCGTGGCAAGACCCAACAGACATGGTGTTTTTAAAGGGCGAAAAGCACTGAAGGGATGATTTCGGGTTGTGGGTGGGTGGCTTCGGCGGTTGTTTTTTAGAGCTGATCTTGGCGCGTTGCTGATGTTACTGCTTCTTCCACTGAGCACGGCGGGGGGGATATTCCCTGTGTTAGTACAACATCTGTATGATAACTTGCTTGATCGTTTTCCTCATCCGACTTGGTGCTGTTTCCGAACTGTGGTCTTGGTGATTGTGTAACTGCCTTGGAAACGTAAGATCGGGGGAGAACGAGAGATAACGAAAATGTGGGAATAGGAGGGCAAGCAAAGTGCTAGCATTCGGACGTAAATAACGTTGTGTCACCATGGCCGCGCAACGGAAGGGATGGGCTACGACATGTGGATCAGAGGTAATGAATTGCCTACTTAATCTAAGAAGCTACCACGGGTAGTTGATCCCCGCGGACACGGATACACCTCCTCTCCATGTATCTGTTCCCCGCCTTGCAGAAATCTGCTGTAAAGGGCGCTCATGCCTAACGACGCCGCCCGCTTCCTCCGTATTGCTCGCTCCATCATGTGTTTCTTTTTTATTCGCCACCTAGCGATCGGATGGATGCATAACTAAAAGAGCATTGCGGTGTGGCCAGCACGGTCTCGTGTTGGTCAGTCGCCTATCTGGCGAGGGGGCAGAATGACGAGCCGCGCACGTTGCTGTACTTCCAAGGTCCCTTGCCCTAGCAGCCGCTCATTTGGCGTCGGCTTTGACGATGCGGCAGACAAGGTCTGAACCGTCAACAGAGTCACCTTCGCGCACTGCGAGCTGGGAGACGACACCGTTGTGAGGGGCGGAAATGACCATTTCCTAGTTACACGAGTTAGTGATTTATGCTACAGTAGGGAAGAAGAACGTACCATCTTCATGGCGCTCAGAACAGCAAGCGGGTCGCCCTTCTTGACCTCAGTGCCGTCATGCACGCGCAGCTCGACCAGCACGCCAGCCATGGGCGCACCGACTTGGCTCGTGTCGGTAGGGTCAGCCTTGGGACGGCTAACGTTTTCGACGGCCGCCATCTTGTCGTCGACAGAGACCTGGCGGACCTCGCCGTTCATCTCGTAGAACACCTCGCGCTGGCCTGTATTCTCGGAGAGCGGCCCAACAGCGAGCAACTTCAGAATGAGCACTTTGCCCTTCTCGAGCTCGACGTGGAACTCCTCGCCGATCTCGGGCTTCGAGAGGAAGTACTTGGTCGGCAGCACCGATAGATCGCCGTACTTCACCACGAAATTCTTGTAATCTTCAAAGACCTTCGGGTACATGATGTAACTGGCAATATCACACTCGGTAACGCTGCCGCCAAATTTGCGGCCGAGCTCCTTCTTGACATTTCCGAAGTCAATGGGGTCGAGAAAGAGGCCAGGGCGCTGGTCCAGCTTGCGGCGACCGCGGAGGGCGTTGGTGCGGAGCGGCTCCGGGAACCCCCCGTAAGGCTGGCCCATCATGCCCTCGAAGAACTCAAGAACGGAGCCGGGGAAGTCGAGCTCGGCAGCACGGGCCTTGACGTCTTCAGGTGAAAGCTTGTTGGAGACCATGAACTGTGCCAGGTCGCCAACGACCTTGGAGGTGGGAGTGACCTTGACAATGTCGCCGAGAAGATCATTTGCATGTTCGTAGGCCTTCTTAGTCTCAAGCCACTGGGAGCCGAGGCCAAGCTGAGAAGCCTGGAACATCATGTTGGTCAGCTGACCACCCGGAATCTCGTGCTCGTACACCTCGGGGTCGGGACCCGCAAGATGAGCCTCAAAAGGCGAGTAGAGAAGACGGAGCTGGGACCAGTAGGTGTCCAGAGCCCGGACGTGTTGGGGGTTGAGACCAGGGTCCTTGCCAGTGCCATCAAGAGAAGCAAGAATGGCGTTGATGCTAGGCTGCGAAGTCATGCCAGACAAACTGTCAGTGGCAGCATCGACAGCGTCGGCGCCAGCCATAGCACAAGCAACCATAGAGGTAACACCGGTACCGGCCGAGTCGTGGGTGTGAACGTGAATAGGCAAGTCAGGGTACTTCTCCCGGATGGAACCAATGAGAAGAGTAGCGGCATGTGGCTTGAGGACACCGGCCATGTCCTTGATACCCAAGACATCGATGTCAAGGGCAACAAGCTTGTCGACAAGGTCCAGGTAATACGCAAGGTTGTACTTCTTCGTGGGGTTCAGCATGTCGCCGCTGTAGCAGACCGTGCCCTCGCAAACACCGCCAGCCTTTTGCACGGCCTTGATGCCGACTTCGAGCTGGTTGATGTCATTCAGGGCATCAAAAACGCGGAAAATGTCAACGCCGTTCTTCTTGGCCTGATCAACGAAGTGGTCAATGGCGTTGTCAGGAAGTGAGGCGTAGGCAACGCCATTGGCGCCACGCAGCAACATCTGGAAAGGGATGTTGGGAATCAGCTTCCGCATCTTGCGGAGACGGTCCCAGGGGTCCTCGTAGAGGAAGCGCATGGCAACATCGAAGGTAGCGCCGCCCCAGCATTCCAAACTGTAGAGGTTGTGAAGTGCATGGCTCGTCTCCTTGGCGATGTTCAGCAGGTCGACAGTCCTAACTCGGGTCGCAAGCAGCGACTGATGGGCGTCGCGCCAGGTGGTGTCCATCAGCAGGCAGCCCTTGTAGTTGCGAATGGCCTTGGCGAAGGCCTTGGGGCCCTGCTCGAGAATGATCTGACGCCAGCCCTTCGTGGATGGCAGCGTGGTGTCGATCTTGTGCCCGGACTCGTCAAAGAGCTCGGGGATGATAATGTCGCCCTTGAACTTGGGCTCGCCAATCTGGCCCTTGATGCTGCTTCCGTTTACCGCAACGTCACCCAGGTAGGCAAGGAGCTTCTGTGCGCGGTTCTGGCTTCCAACGAGATCGAAAAGCTCTGGAGTTGAATCGATGAATGTTGTCCAACATTTAGACTCAATAAAAACGGGATGCGTCAATAGTGACGTGATGAAGGGCAAATTCGTTTTCACGCCGCGAATTCTGAATTCGATCAGGGCGCGGAGCATCTTGCGACGGGCGATCTCGTATGTCGAGCCTGTGGCAATGACCTTGACCAACATGGAATCACTGTAAATGTTAGCTTTTTTTTTCGTTGGGCATTGGAGCAACATAGGGGAGCGTACTAGTGAGCTAAAAGAGGTTGGCAGACGTTAGCAAATGAGTTCAAGATGAAGCAACAATGAAATATAAGTCCAAGTCCAAAGTTCCAAGTTCCAAGTCCCAAGGTCAGGCCCGCCCTTGGTTCCAACTCGGAGAGCAAGACACCGAGATGTCGAAAACATCGAACTTGGCGTGATCATCGGCGTTACCGAAGACATTATCCTCAGCCTTGTCGAAGACATCTTTTTTTTCTTGATATTATCCTCGGAATTGTCAAAGATATTATCGAAGACATTCTCCGAGGAATGCATTGCCAGCCTCTGCCGTGCTACCAGCAAGTAACGGGGACCTTCAAGTGTTGAGGAGGTTCGTTGTGATTGCCCAGTTGACCTTGGCTCCGAAGGTTTACTTGTGGAGTTGTTGTCAAACCCAGCCACCGAGTTCCGGGGGGTGTCGGCCCTCGCCGCTGGGGTATTAACCCCGTTGTCGTTATGGAGAATGACGGATACCGGCCCAAAACCTATGTGGGCTTAACAGCAGGCAATATTCTTGTTGGTGCAAGTACTATTGTGCCCTTTTCGGTAATGTCTTTGCGTCTGCCAATGTGCAAGGTCTGGGTGTTTGAGATGGGTGACCCGGAGAGGAGGCTTTGTACCCGACAGTATCCATCCAGCGCGAGTGCCATGCCCTTTAATTCTGACAGAAGTTGCTGGGCAGACGGTGCTGGGTTTGAGAGAGTTGATGGGTTGAGCAAGGCGTTGGATTAAGGAAGGCGCTGTCTTGGGGAGGGCGTGTTGTCTCAAAACGGCAGGCGTTCTTGCAAATTTGAGTTGGAACCCAGCTCAGGAGCTGTTTGCAATGAGGCCAAAGGATAGAGATACACCGCTGCTGCTGGCGTCTGGGCCTGTTATGGGTGTTGACTGGTGGTTTGTAGAGGCTTCGTTGGTTAGCATCCCGTCTCATGAAGGGAAAGCGGTGTTACTCACTGTTTCAAAACGTGTAGTCTGTCCTCAAAGCAGAGCCGCCGCTTTAGGGGCGGCTTACCGACTTGCCGCCAGAAAAGGAGTATCGTGGCCATCGAGGCAAAGGACACAGCTTATCCGCAAACATAACGAAGTTGTCGTGGACCAGGGCCCGAAATTAGTACAAAAGAGAAATCAGACTTACGAGTGATGACAGCACCGGCGAAACCATTGCCACCGTCTAGTCTAATACCATTTCCACCCGCAGAACCTGATATTGATGTTAGGTATTTGATCTCCAGGGAGGTGGGGGTTGAGGGTATAGAATTGACATACGGTAAACTTCGATCTTGCCAGTGTCAGGCTGGAAATTCTTGGCTGGGTCCTCACTGTTTAACATTGTTAGCTCCCTGGTGGCTATGAAAGGATGTACGGGGATTACGTGCGTCGTAATCCGGGTCTGGATGGCAAAACCACGGGTCGAGATACGATCCTGAGTGAGTCCAAGTTGCTCTAGCGTTGCTCCGGCCGCAATCTGAATCTGTGCCGCAACGATGTCGATCCCGCAGATCTGTAGGACGTGCTGTTAGTATAAAACCGGCCCTTACAATGATTTGAAGGAGGGAAAATCTCGCCTCTTCCGTGATAGTATGCTCTGGGTTTTCTACGTTAGCTATATCCTGACGTGCTGTTCGAGTTAAGGGCAGAATCAACTCACCAACCTGAATTCGGGGATTAACTTCGATAAAGTAGTAGCGGTTCTGCTGATCTACGAGGAATTCGGCGGTTGATGCGTTACCTAGTTTCGTTAGTTCCTAGAGTCTGAAAAACAAGAGCGGAGTTGAAGGAGGGGGGGGGGGGGGCGCGGGGCAGGATTAGGGTTAGGGTGCGACTTACGCAGTCCGACAGAGCGGCCAAGTTTGACCGCGTCCCTGAGCATGTTATCCCGCACGTCGGCGGGGAGGTCCTTTGCCGGAGCAATTTCAACAACTTTCTGATGCCTCCGCTGGACAGAGCAGTCACGCTCGTAGAGGTGAACCAGGTTGCCGTAGTTGTCACCGAGGAGCTGGACTTCGATGTGCTTGGGCTTGTCGAGGAATCTCTCAACGAACACGGTGCCGTTGCCAAATGCGCTCTTCGCCTCGGAAGAGGCTCTCTCAAAGGACTCCTGGAGTGTGGCTTCGTCGCGCACGACACGCATGCCACGACCACCGCCGCCATAGGCCGCCTTGATGATGACGGGGAAGCCATACTGGTCTGTGAACTTCTTGACATCCTCGAACTTCTCAACCGCACCCTCAGTGCCAGGAACAACAGGGACTCCAGCAGCGATCGCAATCTTCCTGGCCGAGACCTTGTCACCAAGAGAATCGATCACATACGGCAGAGGGTCCGATGAACTGAAAGCGGACCTAGTAAGCGAAT